CAATAACCTGAATGACAACAAGCCGACAAGAAAAAACTGAATCAAGTACGGCAGTGTAATACGAAAAATGCACAGCGGCAGCAGAATCAAGCACTCAAATCTCGTACCTTGAAAAGACAGAGCAAAAAGCTATCAGCACAAACCCATGAATCATCTAATAGGGATGATCCACCGCTCGTGTCTCTGCAATCTTTATGAAGTCCATGTTTCAATTGATAGTAGATGACTCTAATAAACTGCGAGATTCTCGTCACATGTCATTTATCAGTGCAAATGAAATGGAGAAAAAGGAAAGTACTGTTCAGTTCTAGTTTACAAGAAAAAACAAATAGTTTAAATCAAGAATTGCTGAATGTGTTACTCTCTCTGGAACAGAATCTAGACTTTCGATTTCATAACTGTATCCCAAATCACCATGATTGCAACTTCTTAGTTATACTACTAGAAAGTTTAGTTATAAAAGGGACAATTCTGGACATTACCTTTGCAAATAGTTGACTTCTTGCATGGATAGGCTGCAATAATAGCATATTAGACTTTGGTCAGAAAGTATTTGAAATTTCCTGTAGTTCAGTATTAATTACCTAAGATTCAATCATCATTAGGAAAAAGCTGAATTCTAGTATCAAAAGACTCAACTCAAGGATATGCAGTGAGGGACTCAATAAATTGTTTTCTCAAAACAACACTAGTATGTCAACATTATAATAAAAACTTCTTTAGGACCCCTACTGGGCTAAAAGCTTCTTTAGGATCCCTACTAGGCTACTCCCAACTGTCTCCACCTGAACACACACCTCCCTTTAATCCGGCATATATTTTAGTAACTAGAAACTTCGTAAGAAGGATTATGTCTATAGTCTGGTATAAATTTAAAATTTAGCATTCCTAAAAAATGTTAATGCTACTATGCTAGTACCAGTAAAACAGTATTCAACCCAAAGATAGATGGTGAGAGACTTGGGGTAGGATCTCTTGTGTAAAACTGAAAATCTAGTACTATATCAATAGTGCCAAGATTTTAGGTTGGTGACTATAATGTTTGACAATTCTGTCATTAATGCTGAAATTTTAGCACAAATTAACTACATCGATTGTTGACTATGATATTTTGAAGATTTAGAAATTTTAGATTACCTTTTTATCTGTTAAAAAAAAACTGTATCACATAAACATGCAAATGTTATAGTTGTCAACAAAGGTCAAAAGTATTAAATAAAATCTGCATTTGAGAAATAAACATATTAAGACTACTGTATATACTGATTTGGGAAAAGGGTTGCTTATTTTACTAAAGTAGACAACCACCATAACTTCACGCTCATGAGGTACAAATGTAATGTAAACTTATCAATCACATGTGTATACTTTATAACATAGTAATATAGGGACAGAATGTATAAGTAGGTAGATTAATTTTGAATTCAGATGCACAATGTGGTAGAACGAAATACAAATATACAAATTCCGTAGAGAATAAATCCCAATAATAACTGAAACAAGGCAGGTAAACCAATACTTACAGATTCAGTGCATCCAAATAAAAGACCGACCAAGGATTTCCACTGTAGAAATGCTTCAAGTGATTGCCCCATCTTCATGAGTTCAAAATATCATAAAGATCTCAGAGTACTATTTTAACATAGAATGCTGTAAAAGCTGAATTGTTTACACACCAAAAATGCAATATAGGCCAATTGTAGCTCCGCAAGAAGCAAGTCCTCAGAACCTCCATAATATTCTAGTAGTTCCAACAATTGTGTCTAAACAGATCATTGAAAATATGACCACAAAAGAAAAAACAAATTATTAGTGTAAGTATATAGCCAAATCAGCTAATTTTAAACATTAAAAAAATAATCAACCATACTACTTGAAAGAGGATGGAGGGGCTTTTTACCTTCTCAAGATTCAAAGAAGTTGGTTGTTGGCCATGGATTCCTTTTTGTTGATAATACTTGGAATTGATGTGTAATAACACCCTCTCGTCTGAGACTTGTCACTGGGTGTTGAGAACCTACTAGCATTCAATTGCTCATCTATCTAGAGCTTTCTCCATCATTGTGCTAGGAGTGTTTATACGCATTGTAGATTCAGATGCAACAGTAATTTCTCCTCCAATGGGTTCTGTACAGTACATCCGTCATTTAAAATTCAAAGGTTGTTTGAGAAATGACGTTTAGACGAATCGTTTGGATAAAATTCATCTGAAGCAGTCTTTAGCAACATAGATAAAAGTATCCAAGAAATATCAAAATGTGCAAGGATACCAGTGTATTATGGAAACTCATTCATTACTTCACCATACCTTTAGATTTCAATTTTGGTTATTTCAACATTCTCCAAGCTCACAACCAGTGCACTTAGATATCATATGAACTCCATGCAAGGAGCAGATGCACCAAATTCTAAGTTTAGAGCACATGAAGTCATAACAAGTACTTTGTGGAAAATTAAAGTTCCCACCAAATTTGCATTTGAGAACTTTCCTTAAGCAAAACATTCTTTTAATGTCCATTATATAATTGTATAGCAATGTTCCCACGCCACAGGTGCACACAGTACCTATAAAGCAATCATCTAGATTAAATTTTAAAATTGAGAGAGAGAGAGAGAGAGAGAGAGAGAGAGAGAGAGAGAGATGGGGCAAAAATGATAGAGACATAAAATAAAAATATTAAACAGAACAAAGAAAATCACTACTGTGCTCTGTTGCGGCATAAAAATGCTGAGATTCCCCCTTGCTTCCTTTATAATGTAAGAGCTTCATTAATACAATAAAATTGGACAATAATTAATAGTTACATAAAAGTAAATAAAAGATAAATTGTGATTTTCATGAAAATATATTGACCATATTTTCCAACTTCTTAGTAGTTCAGAAAGTAGTACATCAGCACTTTGCTGACCACTTCAGAGATTGCCTCAACTTCTTTTATTAAGCTTATTGGAGATCAAAATTCATTCATTGTTGTAACTCACTTTGATTCCATAACATGGAAAATATGATACAATCAACTTGTGGATCACGCTTACAAACAATTAACTGTTAGATGAGAAAGGTCAGAAGTGCTGACCTGCATTGATATCATGGCACAAGCAACTTACAGTAAAATGTTAACCCAAAAGGCAAACTAACAATAAAATATTGGTAATTAACCTCAGATGGCCCAGCATCAACAAAAAAAACCCTATAACTGGTGAGAACTCCTTGTCATCTCTGTAGTCAAAATATCCAAACATATTTATAAAAATAAAAATAAAAAATCTAAAGCATACTACAAATAATAAAGTTTGGGAATTTATAGAAACTACAAAATACAATCAACCACAAAACACTCATAATTCAATAATCAATGAAGAGCAACTAGTCAGTCTATTCTTCTCTGCCAACATGCAACAAACACATATTGAGCAAGAAAAGGTAACCTGGTGGATGAGCTATATTACACAAAATGAGGACCAAGAGGGATCATCTTTATGCCTTTAAAGGGCAGGGCCTAGAGACAGAAATCATCTGAAGATACAGAGAGCCAAGAGAAAACCAAATTGCTAACCTTTTTATTTTATCTTGAATTTTCTGGGCAACAAAACAGAGAATAAGCATGTGTGGGTGGCTGGGTTGGTAGTAGTTTACCTGAGTATCAATGACGATGAGGATGTGCTGAGGAACGTCGAGGAAGAAGCCAAGCTTCAGAAACTCCATTGCCAGTTCAGTTTTTTACTTGAAAATTCTGGCTCTTGGTCAAATTCGGGTCAACTCTCCCAGAGACAAATATAACCCGTTTCATAAACGGGTCGAACTCAACCCTTACCTGTTTAGTTTTTAATAATAATAAATACGTGGCAGGTATTAATTGGGCTGATAGCTCTGAGACACCGTGTCTCTCCTCTCTCAGATCGCCATCGCTTCTCTATCAGTAACTCTCAGTCTCAGCCGTAATCCCTAATTTTGATTTCCTCAGCCCCAAATCTCTCTTTTCCTCTGCTTATCTCAGCCTGTCTCTCAAACTCTCAGTCTCCATCGTTTCTGTCTCTACATCTTGAACTTAAGCCCTAACCCAAACTGTCTCAGGCTCTCTCTCTCTCTCTCTCTCTCTCTCTCTCTCTCTCTCTCAAACTTGCAGACGTGTTTGACGTCGACCGGGGTCACCGAATAAGAGGTTAATCAAATTTGAAACATTTTGATTTTGATGCTTAATTTGCTGATGTTGTGATCAATTATGTGTGAATGACTGTTTTGTTATGCTGATGTTGTAATTAATTATGTGTGAATGACTGTTGTTATGTTGTGTAATTTGATGTTGTGCAAGGATGCTAATTTGGAGATTTTGTTTTGTTTTGTTTTCTCTTGTTTCTGTTTCCTGCCATTGTGTTTCATAGATCATAAACTCGCATAGGTTATCTGGGTTTTCTGGAGTTTCGGGGTTTCTGCCGTTGTGTAATACATTCTGTATGGTTCAGTTTCCTAGTTGTTTTTCACTATTTGATCATTGGGTTAATATCAGACCCAGAAAAGAAAATATTCAGTAAATATGTAATTTATCAAAATGGGAAAGGGTTTTCCCATTCTAATCTGTTAAGTTTTGAGGATCCCTAATTTGATCGCAAGATAATATATGGGTACAATATGCTATAGGATCTCTAATTTGGTTACGAGAAAATGGTTTACCTTTATTTAAAAGATTGTCACTACTTTATTTTCTCTGTCTGTTTCTGTGGGAGTCTGATTTTCCCACCTGTCTTTCAACTTCAGGTCATGCATTCTACGGCACGGTCCTTATTAAAAAACCATAGGACTTGCTGATACTGAAGTTTTGAACTTTCCGAACATCAAAAAAGCAAATGATTCGAAAAACTAAAATTCCGAATCTTGATTCAAGCGTTTCCTTGCGAATCGTGATCCGCTGTCAACTGAAAAGTTTGAACCGTTGACTGTTGTGGAGTAAAAGTTAAAGAAGTTGCTTGAATAAGTGGAGGCCCTTGGTGAAGCTGGGAAGATGGATGAAGCTGAAGTGCCCATGAAAAAGGTGTTGCTATTCTTGCCTGAGTTTTCTTTTAAGCATTTGTTTCCAAATTTTGCAAATAATTTTCCAGGAAGTCTATGCACCCTGTGTCCCTGGTAGCTAGGTTCATTTTCCCTATCCTGATTTTTTTGGTGGACTAACAAAATTTTGATCCTATGATAGATGCCTAATAATAATGGTGCGGACAATCCTGAAGTTGGTCAGGGCCCTCAGACCCAGGGTGGTTCTAGTGCCCCTACTCTCGTCAGTAATACCCAATCAAACTGGTATAGCGTCTTTCTCCAGCAAATCTCAGTCTATGGTATTGCCGCTGGTTATTGCTTATCTGCCTCATTGCTTTCCATCATCAACAAATGGGCTGTCATGAAATTTCCTTATCCTGGGGCACTAACTGCTTTGCAGTATATGACAAGTGCTATTGGTGTCCTTGTTTGTGGCTGGCTTAAGTTGATAGAGTATGATTCGCTTGACCTACTTACTATGTGGCGCTTCCTACCAGCAGCAATTATATTCTATCTCTCTCTCTTCACCAACAGTGAGCTGCTTCTCCATGCTAATGTTGACACTTTCATCGTCTTTCGTTCAGTTGTTCCGATCTTTGTTGCAATAGGAGAGACAATCTTCTTGCACCAACCATGGCCATCAATTAGGACATGGACCTCACTTGTCACTATTTTTGGAGGAAGTGTGATTTATGTTCTAACAGATTACAAGTTCACAGTAACGGCTTATAGTTGGGCTCTAGCTTACTTGGTAAGCATGTCCATAGACTTTGTCTACATAAAGCATGTGGTAATGACCATTGGTTTAAATACATGGGGTCTTGTACTGTATAACAATCTCGAGGCTCTTCTACTGTTTCCATTAGAACTACTTGTAATGGGTGAATTGAAGAAGATTAAGCATGAAATCTCGGATGAATCCGATTGGTATTCTCTTGAGGTGGTTTTGCCAGTGGGGTTATCGTGTTTATTTGGTTTATCCATCTCTTTCTTTGGGTTTTCTTGCCGAAGGGCAATTTCTGCAACTGGATTTACTGTTCTTGGTATTGTGAACAAGCTATTAACTGTTGTGATTAATCTGGTTATTTGGGACAAGCATTCAACCTTTGTTGGTACATTGGGCCTGTTGATATGTATGGTAGGTGGTGTTATGTATCAGCAATCTACAAGCAACAAGCCTAAGGATGTGAATCAAGCAAAAGCACGAGAGACTGAGGAAGAAGAACGAAAGTTAATTGAAATGGAAAGCAGCTCAGAAAGCAATAACAATGAGAAATTGCCTGTTGAATCTGAAGGGGGAAAATGACGGAAGGGTTTTTCAAGGTAATATTGTTCTGGTCTTTTGTTGCATCTGGATTTCATTATTCTCCAGTCTAGATTTATTGATTGGTAAGTCTCTTGCGGCAAATTCTCAACGAGATGACTTATAGACAGTTTGTCTGATGCGCATGTGGGTTAAGATGAGTATTGGGCATGTCAGGTTGGTTAAATGAGTTATTCTTCAACAACAAAATTCTCTGTACTTGATAATTAATTTCTTAAGCCTGGTCTGCAGCATTTAATCGACGATCTGGGAACACCCTGTTGGACTAAATATTGCATTCTTTTGTTCTGTAATCTTAGATTGATCAAATAGTCCCAATAGCAATGCCTTATTTGTTGTAAGGATGCAGGATTTCTGAAGACATACTGCCTGCTTATATCAGAATTTTATCTTCCTTGTTTATGCTCAATGCTTATTCTTTTACAGTGTACTTGTAAAAATTATGGGATGTAGTTTTGTAAGCAGTTAGCAAAAGTAAGGATTTGTTTTTATCTCTGTAACATTTTTGAATGAGGATAGACCATATGGTATAAGGTATTTGCCATAAATTTAAAGGAAAGAAAAGGAGAACTTCTGGATTAAATAGACCACATGGTGGTGAAGTGTTAGTTTCTCTCCAAAAGCTGTTGAACAGTTGCCCCTTCCCTATGGTCTTCTTTTTGTTCAAGAGCTGGTTTTCATGATCTGTTTTTGGACTGTGATCTTGCTGCTGTGCAAATGGTGTTAGCTGTGGAGGAATGTATGGCAATATAAAGGAACATCTCAAGAGTTTCCCTAAGCCATTTTATGTGTTGAATACTTTACTTTGAATTGGGTTTCAAAAATGAAAGAAGCAAATATCGAAGGGGGAAAAACCAGAGAGATGTAGTTTATGTTCTACAAGTGAAGTGATCTGATGGATATAAGTATAACGTATAAAAGAGGGGAAAAATCAGCATTGCCTGTTCAGGACTATCAATTAAGTTTTTTTTATTGGTTGTTAAACACAAATTTGATACAATCTTCGGAAATATTTAAATATTTGAGATTTGGAAGGGATTTATATCATAGGCCCGTCAATTAAATTAAAGATTGTTTATGTCTAAAATATAAATTATTTTATTCAACATATTACCTTCCTTTTGCTCCCAATTTTTTTTTAATTGGCTTAATTATTGTTTTACTCTTTGAAACGAACACTCAGTGCCCCATGACTTAACCTTTAGAATCTTGAAAAATTGCTGAAATTTTATTATTTTATCACTTCCATCTATTTTAGTCTACAAAACCATTAAATGTGTTGACGTGACATGTTTATTTTAGTAATTTTAGCTCCTCTCTCACTCACTCCCTCTGCCTCTGTTCTCTCTCACTCGCTAAATGTGTTGACCCAACCCTCATCGCACCTCCATTGCACCCAACCCTCTCTCTCTCTCTCTCTTCCTCCTTCCTCGACCTAACCCCCAACTCAGACCCAACCCTTCCAGGAATTACTCAACACACCCAACTTACCCAGCCACCCAAACCCTACCCTCATCACCTCCCACGAAGCAATCCACTCCAGCCATCTCCATCATCATCATCATCAGACACAACCCCTGACTTTAATTTTGTTTGATGGCGTCAATCCATCATATTCAAGTGGTTTTTTATATATACTGAAATTGAAGGAGATGAAAGGGACGGGTGGTGGGGGGCGAGGCTGGGCTGGGTGCTTTGGAGTCTAGGGGTGGCAATTTCGGACATGACCCGATACACGACTCGAAACCCGCACGATAAAAAAACAGGTCAATTTCGGGTCAACCCGTTTTGACCCGTTTAATAAACGGGTGGGTTTCGGGTCAACCCGCTAACCCGCTATAATACCTGTTCAACCCGTTTATTAAATGGGTCGTGTCACGGGTCGTGTCAACCCGTTTACAACCCGCTTAAAAAATGAAGAGAAATGGAGACTTCAACACACACAAGGGGTTTCGAACCCCTATCACCCTCATTTCCCTCAAGCGTCTTATCAACCATGCTACAAACAACTTTGTGATTTTATTGTATGCCTTTTGATATTTATAATGTTTCTTTTTCTTTTGTGTTTTCCTTTCTTTTCCATCTCTCTTCTCCTCTTTTTTTTTCTTTTTTTTCCTTCTTTCTTCTTTCTCCTCTCTCTTTCTCTCTCTCTTTTCCTTTCCTCTTCTCTCTTTTTTTTCTTCTTTCTTTTCCTTCTCTTTTTTTCTCTCATCTCTCTTTTTTCTTTCTTTCTTTCCTTCTCTTCTCTCTCTCTATTTTTTTCCTTTCTTTTCCTTCTCTCTTCTCTCCTCTCTCTATCTTTTTTTCTTTCTTTTCCTTATATTTTCTCTACTCTCTCTTTTTTTTTAATTTAAATTTTTTCAGTTGTGAGTTTCGTAACATGCATATTATTATTTATGAACCCGTTACACGACTCGAAACCCGCACGAGAAAAGACGACCTGAACCCGACACGACACGTCTATTAAATTGGTTGGGTTCGGGTTGAGCATTCTTGACACGTTTATTATCCTGACACGACACGAACCCGACACGACACGACCCATTGCCAGCCCTGGAGTCTAGTTTTCCTTTTTCCCTTTTCTCTGTACCCACCGTGTTTCTCCCTTATTCTTCTGACGCCTCTCATCTCTTAACATCAAACATAACGTTGTTAACTTTGAATAAAATGAAAAATAAAAATCCAAAAACCCAACAACCCAACAACCCAAGCAAAACTCTAACAACCGACACTACCCCCAGAGTCACCACCCAACCTCCTCCACTCTCTCTCTCTCTCTCTCTCTCTCTCTCTCTCTCTCTCTTATGGTGACGATGAGCCATGGAGGTGTTCTGAATATGAAGATTTTGAGAGGAAACAGATATGGAACAAGAAGCACACAACTCTCTAAAAAACAAAAACCCCTTAAACTATTTTGAACAGTTAAAACAGTAATGCTGCTCGACCATGTACTTGATTTGAGCGCCTACTTATTTAAAAGTAAATAAATATCATAGCTATTCAATCAAAGAGCCATTCGGTGTGTTTAGTTAAAATAAATATAAAATGCTTTGTTCATCACAAGGATCCGTGGCGCAATGGTAGCGCGTCTGACTCCAGATCAGAAGGTTGCGTGTTCGATTCACGTCGGGTTCATTTTAATGTTTTTTTTCCAATCCTTCTTTCCAGTCTTCTACCACATCGTGTGATATGGATTTTCTCGTCAATTGCCAACCCCATTTTGCCTTTTCAAGTGTGCAGTCAACTGGAACTTCGCTTCCTCATGTACTTTTTCTCCCTGGTTTGCTTCCTCATGCACATTGGGCAATGGCGGATTTAGAAATTTTTCAGCAGATGTGCAATATTTAAAAGGGTAAAAGCTATAAAAAAAATTATTTCAAATGCTCTTAATCTAACCAAAATCAGTACCAATTAATCTAATCAAAATCAATCAAAATCAATCTCAATTAATCTAATCAAAATGCATATCAAATTCTCAATTAAATAAATGAATCATAATTGATCATACTTCGAGTCATGCACAGTTTCTTTCTGCTTAAGTTTGCTATTGATTATACAAATAAAAATAGCTAAATTAGAAAAATAAAAATAAAAATAACATTTGGAAAAACTCCGAAGACCATTTAAAGACTACAGTGTGCCCTCGTAGACTTAAAAGAAAAATCCGAAAAGCCTTAAATTAAATAAATAAATCCGAAGAGCCTTTTGCTTCTGAAGAAGAAAAACAAAACCAGACCTTGTTATTGCTGGGTTTGCTTTGCCTCTGTTGAACAAGAAAAGTAAAAGCAAGATATTTGTATTTTTGATTTAGAAATTTGTTTGATATCAGCACATTAGTGCAGAGATTGCTGTGAGAACACCAAGCCCTCTCAATCCAAAAATCTGATTCCTAGTTGATTAATTAGTAATTACATTTGAACAGTGGATGGTAGTAAGGGTTTAAGGCTTCTAAACTTGGATTGGACGATCGTCTTCCATAGAAGGTAAAGGCTTTTTCTTCACTACGCTGTTTTATTTATTTATTTATTTTTAAAACTCTGGTTCAAAACAACGTCGTTTTGGTCATAGCTTTAAAAACAAAAAAAATTAGGTCGCGCTGTGCGCTGTTGGCGCAGCAAAACTGAAAAAACATCTTTGAGGCATTAGGACGAGCACATGGTAGGCATACCAGCAGAGGGCAGTTTCCAACTTCTTCCATGGCTTTTTTCGGCAAGGGGAGGTGCAGCTGCACCTCCTTGCGCCTCTGTGGATCCGCCAGTGACTTTGGGGGTTGCTTTTTCATTGCTTCAAAACGCTCAAATTTGATTTTTTCTTAGGATTAAGTCTGTCAAGCTGTTCCACATTTTTAACAATTGATGATGCACCGCAACCCCTTATTAGAGTATTTTCGTTAATTTTTAAGTTCATTGCACTTCTGTTTGTTAAGTTACATGATACGTGTTGAATAATTAGTAAGGAGACAGAAAGGGGACATCAAATTAAGTACAATGGATTAGCTCAAAATAGAAACACATTCTCGTCCCCACGTTGGAGGATATGGTATTCCTGACTTTTCCTCCATGTTAATATTAGACCACTACACATCTCTTTCTGAAGTACATTTATATACAATGTATATTAATTAAAACAGGCTGCATTCGTGTCTAGGCGTGCTTTTAGGGGTTTAATCATATGTGTAATAATAATTTAGTACATGCAGACATGGTAATATTAAAATGAGAGTTTCACTAAAACACCCAAAATGAGGGCTGAAATTATAAAAAACCCCAACACCCAAAACACTTTATAAACACACCCAAAACCCATCATTACACACACTCAAAATCTATTGATAAACACACCCAAAAAATATACAATTGTTGATTTTGGGGGTATTTCTATGTTTAAATAGTGTTTGAGTTTTTTTATAAATACATGTTTAGGATTGAGTTTATTTATAAATTTGTATATTAAAATCTGACAATATAGGTACGTTGACAGCGCAATCAACAAACTAGCTAGTTTAACCTTAGCGTTACCACCAACCATTCAGCTGTCAAGACCCCTACCATCATCAAGACCTTGCCAGTGAAGTAAAACATTGCACCGACGGTTCAACCAATAAGTTGTTTCTTCTCTCCAAATTTTTTGGTAATTAAAAATAAATTTCACTATAAGCCAAAGAAAAAAAGTGGAAACCTGTAAATGAATAAAAAAAATCTACTACTCAATATCAAAAGGCGCACGCAATTAAAAAAGTAAAGTGATTAAGACTATTCGCTCTTGTTTTTATTTCTAGTCTTTGTTACGTCGGTCGATTCTCCTCTTCCCAAATGTCGGTAGTATTCAAATAAAAATTTGCTATGTCGGGAGTATCCACCATTTTCATTGGTAGGACAGGAACTCCTAAATACATCAAGTTCGAGGACTCTCGATTTTCCACAGTTGAAAAGCCGACAAGCCTAAAAATGTGCTGCAGAAAATAATTAAAATACAAAATTAAAGTGAACCTGTGTGTATATATAGATAAATTACGTGCTCCATATATATATCATATCTAGAATTTAAAATATAGTCAAGTAAGATTCGATTTTTTATGCCGGATCATTGGATAATATAGTACTTCTCCTGTTCCACGAGTATGCACTCATCCATTTATATATATACATATAGTTGCTTTGGCAACATCTTCAACTTTTAAAAAATAATAAACAAAGAAGTCTTCTAAGAATACATATCACATGTTCTTTCTAATTTAAGCTCTCAAGAGTTACTTTAAACTTTCAGCAGATCACAAACCATTCTTTCTCTCTCTCTCTCTCTCTCTTTCTCTCTCCAATGGATGCTGCTGATGCGCTTGATCGATCGTCGTTGACGTTTCCTCTTGTGTGTGATGAAAGGCAACAATATGAGGAAGTAGAGGCAATTGACTGTGATCAAACTAAAACGACCTCTGTTTTGAAAACTTGTTTCAATGGACTCAATGCCCTATCAGGTACTTCTCCTTGTTATATACCATTGTTTTAACATAGAATTGTTTTTTGTTTGGTATTCTAGCATTTCTTCTCATTAGCTATCACCAATTGCTTCAACATTTCACACACACACACATATATATATGTGTGTGTGTGTGTAGGCAGCTGAACCTCATCTTGAGACTGTGTAAAATATCAAATGAGAGAATTATATATTAATAAATTTAATTTCTCTACCATTTCATTACTTAAAGCAAATTGAATGAACCAAAATTTTCTCTTTTTAATTTGGTTTCAGGAGTTGGGATGCTATCAGTTCCTTATGCACTCTCATCAGGAGGGTGGCTAAGCTTGATACTTCTTTTTGTAATTGCTGTTGCTGCCTTTTACACAGGCTTGTTAATTCAAAGATGTATGGATGAAGATTCTACTATAAGAACTTATCCTGACATTGGTGAACGTGCATTTGGGAAAAAGGGAAAAATAGTTTTGTCAATTTTCATGAACACAGAACTCTACTTAGTTGCAACTGCTTTCCTAATTCTAGAAGGAGATAACCTACACAACTTATTTCCAGAAATGAAATTGCAAGTGGCTGGATTAACAATTAGTGGGAAGAAGTGCTTTACAATACTTGGCGGACTTATTGTTCTGCCGACTGTGTGGTTTGATAGCCTCAGCCTTCTTTCTTATGTCTCTGCAAGTGGGGTTTTTTCATCTGTTATCATTATTGGGTCAATTTTGTGGACTGCTGTTTTTGATGGAATTGGATTTCACCAAGAGGGATCGGTACCGCTTAATTGGAGTGGAATCCCTACTGCTGTTAGCTTATATGCCTTCTGCTATTGTGCGCATCCAGTGTTCCCTACGCTCTACAAATCAATGAAAAACAAACGTCAGTTCCTGAATGTAAGTACAAAATGTGAGCTTGATATACATTGTTGGCCGATTTCCTAACATCTGAAGTTTTGGAAACAAGTTATGGCTAACCTAGTAGGATAGCCTTCTTTGTAAGAGGTCCTAAATGCCTCTCTCCCTCCATCTGTTTATCTACTTACGCCTACTCGCACGATTTGCGTACGATGGTATCAATTGTGCTACCAAATGATGTTAAAGATAAATGAGTTTTAGCGTATGCATGCTTTGGTGCTTGCTAATTTTCAATCTGTTGTTTCTTTGGTGCAGGTCCTCCTCGTGTGCTTTATTTTATGCACCCTTGGTTATGCATCAATGGCAGTTTTAGGGTACTTAATGTTCGGGTCAACAGTCGAATCACAGATAACTTTAAACCTCCCAACTGAAGAACTTAGCTCAAAAATCGCAATATGGACCACCCTTATCAATCCATTGTCCAAATATGCTTTAATGGTTACACCAATCCTAAACACTGCCCAAAATTGGTTTCCAAGTTGCAGCAAAAAAAGTCGAAGCTTCCGCCTATTTCTCAGCACTTCCTTGGTAATCAGCAGTGTTATAGTAGCTTTGGCTATACCCTTTTTTGCTTATCTCATGTCTCTGGTTGGAGCATTTTTGAGTGTCACAGCTTCACTTATAATACCATGCCTTTGCTACCTTAAAATTTCAGGTACTTATCGAAATCTCGGATGTGAAATGTTGATTATAGGGTGTATAATTTTGATGGGAGTTGTAGTTGCCATAGTTGGTACTTACACATCTCTACAACAAATAATAGAGCATTTGTAAATTAATGTAACGGCTTCCTGCTTTTTTTTTGACAATGTATTAATTCCTTGCTGAGGTTTATGTTATCCGCATAGTATGTTAAAGAAATAGATAATCAGAGATGGAGAGCTTTGACAGAGTCGAAAATTTCAAATTAAATATTCATGCTTCTAACTTCCGTGCTCACCAGCTTTTGGCTATTTATGATAAAAACTCAGTTTCTTTCCTCATAACTTTTGATTTACGTACGATCGCTTCGCTTATGTGCTTGTCTCGACTTCCTTCTATCCATTTTTGGACCAAATTAAGGTTAAGAAATAACTAAAGTCTTCCAAAATATAGGATTTCGTTACTACCTTCAGACCTAATACCGTTTTTCCAGTCCTCATTTTACCAAACAGTCTTCTCACCATTTCCTTCAACCACTTCATCAATAAAAATTAGCTAATCACCTACTACTTCGAAATCTTTTGAAAAAAAAAGAAGAAGATACCAAACACATGTTTTGTATAATATTTGCATAATTTTGTAAAAGAATTATTAAGCCAAAAGTGAAAGAGAAAGATATGGCAAGATCGTTTCTCTCTCCGTCATGTGTCAAACTCTGAGCTAAGCTAAAAGTAAGGATAAGATTTTTGAGGAATAGATAAAACATGGCTTTAAAAAATAAAATAAGTTCAATTAAACAGAAAATGTGTGACGCGATACAAAGCATAAGAGTTTAGATTGCAAATTCCCCACCTATTTGTGGCAAACAATTGTGATGAATTCGTATTTAAAAAAAAGATGAAAAAAAGAAGAGGAAATTATTGTTTCATTTGGGCGGGAAATAGTAACAACCTAAGGACTACAGTTAGCGCCGAAGGAGTACTACATATTTCGATGACTAAATTTGAGGAAGCAAATGCAAATGAGAGTACAGTTTTGGGATCATTGCTATAATATATTCCAACTTTAAAGAGATGTTTCGGTCATCTATATATATAAAGCAAAAGGCAGAGAATGGTGAAACATTCAAAAATACCAGAAAATATCATTGGTTACATACAAACATTAAAAATTAAAATTAATTAATAATAAATAAATTAAATAAATGACATAAAAAAAAAAAAAAAAAAAAAAAAAAAAAAAAAAAAAATTAAAAAAAAAAAAAAAATCAAATGGATCCTATTTTTATGGAACACAACTACCCATTATCTTTTTTAATACCAGAAAAGGCCTCTCGCAGGAGTGGAAGCGCGTGCAAAGAGGCTAGTTAAAAAATAAACCCATACAACTAAAATACTCTAGACAATATATTTTATTACATTTAAATAAACCCAATTTTGAATTAGATGGTGTTGGTGTATTATACATATTTACAAATTATATATGCCATCAATCCCTCTTTGTTGAGAAGAACTTACATGTAACGGGGATGCCACTGTGGCGGTAGTCCAAACCTATCACGTGTTGCCATGTCAGAAAATTACATTGTCATATCAAAAAGTTAAAACACATGACAATGGATAATCCCTAAATTTCCTATAGGAGTCACAATTTGAACCCGTAAGCGAAACCGTACATGCATTAATTAAGGTTGACTAGTCTTTTTTTCTTTTTTTTTGGAGTTTGTTAGCATAAAGGATATATACCTATTCCTTGTTGGGTATTGGTCCTTTTGCTAGTTGTAGGCAATGACATGTGTAACAATATTTGTATATTTTATATATTCAACATATCTAGATACATTATAATTCTCCTACAGAACAATTTGTGGACCTACCTACTATAATAGTATATAAAGGCAAGACATTTTACCTAAAGGTATAAAATACCACAGGTACATTTCATAAATTACCTAGTACGTACCTTACATTTAGATGTTGTAAAACATCAATCGACACTCGCCATGATTTAGTTGTCGTTTTGGTCCACATACACAGAGTTTTGACTACTATAGTTTAGAGTTTGGAGTTACAATCATGGAAGTTGCAAGTTTGTGTGGGCTGGGGTTTAGCCGATGCGGCACTAAGAGTTTAGCTGGTATGGCATTATGGATCTCTTCGGTTGTCGGAGAGGATGTACAGTGGTGGTCCTGTTTCTTTGTATGTTTTAGTTTATTATTACTCTTTAGGAGTTTGCTTTATTTTATTTTAATTCTTAAGAACTCTTTAGGAGTTTACTATGTTTTGTATTTTAATTTTTGGCTGTGATATAAATATGTTGTTTCTGCCGTTGCGCGGTGGATCCGTATTATTTGTCTGAGTACAGATGCGTCGGGTTGCTGAATCAGGGGTTTGAGCATTTTTTGTTTAGGCGTAATTCTCTCCATATCAAATCAACATGTTGTTGTATTTGGTCATTGGAGATATCGTACTCATTTCAGCTCTTTTGTGGCTTTGTACCTGTTCTGTTTCATCAATAAATATTATCGATTTTTCTCAAAAAAGAAAAAAGAAAAAAAAGGGGCTTGGAATAATTTATGTTTTAAAAAAGAACAATTTAAACCAAAATTTAAAGAATTAATTCAAACTAATATTTCAAATGGAATCATTTCACATTTATTAAACTTTACAAGAAAAATCAAATGATTAACAAAATAGAACGAACTTCAAAGGTATATATGGCATGTACTAATTGATCCGAAAGCGTCTTTTGATTTAATTACGTGATGTGCTCATAAATTCGACATTTATCTATGATATTTTTCCATGTTTACACCTTTGTTTTACTCTTTGATATAGGTTTTACATTCCTTTATTACCTTTTTAGGTAATCACAAGCGAATGGTAATGAGCTAAAAAGAGAAAGTTGAGTTTGAAAGGCCTATGCAGATCATTCAAGTTCACGGATTATACTGTACTGACTCAGGAAGAACCAGAAGTTAAGCCACATAAGCTTGGAAAGCTAGGGATGTCTATTTTCTGGGAAATTTTACGGTTCGTGAATGTCATTTTTCTAGAGGAAGTTATGGTGGTTTTAGTACAGGTAGTTCAGACTGCGGGGGAATCTGCAATCTTGTCCGAAGTCCAAATTTGAGGCCCAAATCACATCAATTGGGTCAGTGAGGAATATTCCTATTTCCCAGGGGGTTTATATGTTTGAATAAAAATTATGTAGGGTTTCAGAAACGTGGAGAATACAAGGAGCAACAAACTTTTTTGAGAAGAAAAGAAAAGGCGGCTGCTGTGCGAGAGGGGAGCTGATTTTTGAGTCGTAAAAATAGAAAAAAGAAAGGAGAAGAAGAGGGCAGCCACACCATTCTCCTCCATCCTTCAAGGTTCCAAGGTTTGAAAGGCTTAGGAAGCAAGGAGGAACGTCAATGGGTCATCCAATCACCCTGGCTGATCAACACATCATCAAAGAGCTATGTTCTTCATCTTTTTATTTTCTGTTTTGTTTGTTCTTGCTATCTATTTAAATTTTGGATAACTAAGTGCTTTAGTTAGGGCTCGATTGAAGCCCTAATCATGTTTCTTTAAGGATTTCGATATGCCTTTGCTGTAAACTACTTTTGCGATGCTTAATTGATTAATTTCATATTATATTTTACTCTTTACATACGTTATGTTATGCTTGATCACCATATGCATGTTGTGTATTGAGTTTGTTACATAGGTAAATTTAGATGACCGAGTCTTGTGCCTATGAGAGAAACAAAATAACTAGTTATAAGTTCTTGAAATTAATTGTCATGAATAACTAGAATAGATACCATGTTCTAGGAGTTGTGTGTTTGTCGATTTCCATTGTGTTATGAGTTCTTAAAGTGGAACTTAGTAGATACCATGCTAAACACTTTAAGCATGAAAAGAGTTAGCGTAGATACCCATCCCTAACTTGTTGCTTAGGGAAATCAATAATCTAAAGAGTAGATATCATGCCTTTAGGTTGACAAACATGAGCATCTAAAATCTGTTTTGTAGCATTGTGCATGTCGTTTGCTTAAGGAAGAAGATTAGCGAACCCCTTGTCTACACCGAGTGCCTTTGTGTATTGCTTAACTTTGATTAGAAATTTTAGGGTTTTCTTTCACTTTTGCATTCTTAGTTTGTGTCATTTAGTTAGTAGTTCTAGGAAATTAATTTTAAACACATATTAATCCAATGCTCGTGAAAATGATCTTGTATTTGCTTTCTATATTATTAGTCTGATCTTGTGCACTTGCGAGTTTAAAACGCGCATATAGTTGCTTAATTTTTAGGTTGCTATTTGTACAACATTATGTACATGGCTATGCACATGGTACTTTTCACTCAAGTTTGCTTAATTACATAGATGCCCATGCATGTGGTACTTTTCATACCGTTTCGCATCATTACATGTATTGCCATGCACGTGATACTTTTCATATTATTTCAATTTTCTTTCACTACTACAAAAAGGGCCATAGATGACGGGAATTCATCGTCGTCTAGCAAGTTTTGGAACCGTTGTGAAATCGACCGACATCTTTTTAAAAACAAAACCATGATGGTAAACGGAGACGTTGTTAATCCAGAAACAACGTCGGAATAAATAAAAGACGACGTAAAAGTAAAGAAAATGACCACCAAAATAACTAGTAGTGAACCTGTAAACGACTCAATTTGGGAAACAACCGTCGTCTAAAGAAACAAATATGACGTTGTTTAGTAAAATACCGCCTCAGAAAAAAGCCACCCCGTCATAAACAATTAACTGCACGACGTTGATGAGACATTCCACGACACATGATTAAATATTATGTCACTTTTGTTTCCAGATATGACGTTGAAAATGTTATACACAGAAGTTGACGTATTAAAAGACATACACACATCTATTAGTAATCAGAGACGACGTTAGGAGTACATACCACGACACCTCTTTTTCGACAGGAATCGTTGTTTTAGTACATTTCATGACACATGGCCAAAAAGTAGACGTGAAAACTTTTAATGACGTCAATAAATATGGGAATAAATAGGTTTGTACGTCTCTTTTACTTTAAACTCTGATGGTGAAATACGATTTACAACGTCAATTATTATAAACACTGCGTTGTTTGTCGTGATACAAACGTCATATAACCTATCAACACTGATGTGGTTACGATCTATTACGTCATTTGTGTTTTCAAAGACGACTTTTGTGTGTAATATTGAATGACACATTGTCACTAGGGAGATGTGAAAACTATTAATGACGGCAGTAAATATGGGAAGAAAGAGGTTTTTACGTCTCCTTTATTTTAAATGTTAACGGTGAAAGAACTTACAACGTCGGTAAGAATATAAAATGCAACGTGGTTACCATTTTCTACTTCATTTTTATTTCTAAAGACGATGTATATTTTCTTACCAAGTCCTAAAGACATAAATTGACGTGGTATATTGTAAAGACGTTTCATAATAAGAGTGTATCGTCGTGTTTGTTTGTGAGGTAGACGACGGTTATATTTGTTACGAGGTCGTTTTATCTTCTTTTAAATGTCGTCTTTTTTTGCCTTCCCATCGTGATATCTTGTAACAACGGCTTTTCATTACCATCGTTGTTTTATTACCATGTGTAGTCTTTTGAGTTAAATTTTAGATGGCGGTCTAATTGGAGACGTACGACCTTTTTAATGTCCATTTTTTTAAACCTATTACTTTGTTTTTTTATCATTTTTTTTTTTTTTTTTTTTTTTTTTTATTTAGGTTTTAAGGTCTTCCATTGCAAGACGTATGATAAAAAACGACGTCTGATACTATTATGACGTCTGTTTTTGCAATAATGTTAATAGGACTGTCGTATTTTGGTACTTGAACAAGATTTTTTTTGTACTGAAAGCTTTGAGCCCAAACCCTGTATAATGTAAGTGAAAAAAATGCAATGCAATTTCTTACAAAATTAATGTCATACACAACCATTTAGAGCGTAAGTAATGCCATAAATTACAAGCATCATTCAATCCATATATCTTCACACCCATCTCGAATATTTTGACTCCCAGACTCACCGGCTAGTTCATCAAATGTGTCAACATTTGGCATCCTTCTAGTAAATGGCTCACACTCAATTCTCACATCACCTAAGACATCATCACCAATAACATCATTATATTCTCTATTAGGCATTGATAACACTACTGACCAACCATGATGCATTGGGTCATCAACAAAAAATACTTGTTTGACTTGAGAAACCATAACAAATTGGTCATTCCTATGTCCAATTTTACTCAGATCTACAAGGGTAAATCAAAGTTCGTCGACTACAAGGCTAGAAGTGCTATCTATCCAATCACACCTAAAGACTGTGATTGTAAACTTTTGGTGATCAAGGTCCCAAATATCTTGAATGACACCATAAAAACCCATATTTGAGACAATTGAGTTCTTATCCTTGGCACTAGCAACTTGCATAGTATGTGCAATTAAATAAACTCCACTATTTTGAACTGCACGCACATCATCTTGTGCTTTGGTGTTAAATTTAATACCTTTGATAAGATAGCTCCTATATAATGGCACTGCCATGCTTGGACCAGTTGCTAGCCACCGCAAATTTTCTGATACACCATTATTGTCTTCCCCATTAAGTTGACTTTGAACCTGCAAATGAATCATATCTTAATTCAATCTAACATAAAAATAAGAAAATTAAAAGTGCAATATGTATTCAATTTCATATACCTTAAAGCGTAGCTATGAATGAAATTGGTATTGTGCTTATCTTGTAGCCACTTTGTTCTCTTTCTAAATTTTGGATAAGTGGTCTTGATGTGGATCATATGTTCTCTACATAACATGAAAAATTCAAGCATTACAGTCCCAAACATGTCAGATAAACATAAGGAATATAATTTAAAATGACTACTTAAGAATAAAACTCATACTCGATATAAAGTAGAACTTCCTCCGTATTATCCAAGACATATAGATGTGCCTGAATCAACAAGTCTTGATCAACTAAACTCATTGTGCAACTTGATAAGGGCTTTGAAAGTCCCATCTTCTGGCTTGATGACACTCCAACTGTACTAACATTGGATAAATGCTTGGTGCAAAACTCTACAGCTTCTTCAGCTATATACCACTCAGCAATACAACCTTCAGGATGATTAAGGTTCTGAACATACCCCTTTAGCACTTTCATATATCTTTCGAACGGATACATCCATCTAAAATAAACTGGCCCACATAGACGAACTTCTTTGACAAGATGTACTACTAGATGAACCATGATATCGAAGAATGAAGGGGGAAAGTACTTCCCAAGCAAACACAACGTTACTACTACATATTCTTCCAACTTATCTAGCTTGGAAATATCTATCGTCTTTGCACAAATAGCATTGAAGAAGAAGCACAATTGAGTTATTGCATACCTTGTAGGCTTCTCTAGGACAGAACTAATTGCCACAGGGAGCAATTGTTGCATCAAGGTATGAGAATCATGTGATTTAAGCCCTAGAAGTCTTGAATCTTGTAAAGATACAAGATTTTTAATATTTGAAAAGTAACCTTCAGGGACCTTCATACCATAGAAAGAATTGTAAACCGCTCTCTTCTCTGCTCTTGACAAATTCCAAGGCCCTGAAGGCAAGCGAGTGCGTCTTTGTCCATACTCGGGTTGCAAATCAGTCTTGACCCCCATGTTCAATAAATCCAAACGAGCAGTAATCCCATCTTTATTTTTTCCAGGGATCTCCAACAATGTACCAATGATACTATCACAAACATTTTTCTTGATGTGCATAACATCAAGGGCATGCCTCACAGGAAGGTATTTCCAATACTCGAGATCAAAGAATTGACTTCTTCCAACAAACTTTGTCACCATCATTTTCACTTCCACCTCCCCCTTTTTTCGAGCCCCATTTATAATTAATACCTTCAATCATTTGTAACACTTCTTCTCCGGTTAATGGGTTTGGAGGCGTGTCATATTCAGGTTTCCCATTAAAAGCTGCACGTTGCCTCCAATATGGATAATATCTTGGTAACCATTTTCTATGCCCGATGTAACATATTTTGTGGCCATTTTTCAACCCGTGACTAGGTGTATCATCACCGCATATTGGACAAGCTTTATATCCTTTTATGATACAACTAGATAAGTTTCCATAAGCGGGAAAATCATTAATTGTCCACAGTAATGCAGCTCTGAGTGTAAAGTATTCTCCTAAATGAGCATCATACACTCCTTTAATCTCATCCCACAAAGATTTTAAATCATTAATCAAAGGCTCTAAGTAGACGTCTATATCATTTCCGGGTTGTTTTGGACCGGGAATCAATAAGACCAACATCATGAACTTTCATTTCATGCATAGCCATTGTGGGAGATTATATGTAACTAAGATAACTGGCCAGCAACTGTATCTGGTAATTAGAGAACTATGAGGATTGAATCCATCAGATGAGAGAGCCAATCTCAAGTTTCTTGGCTCATTACCAAACTCGGGCCATTTATCATCAATGAGTTTTCAAGAGGGAGAATCAGCCGGATGAGACATCTAACCTTCAATTGCTTTTTTATCAGCATGCCAAATCAAACTCTTAGCTATCTTGCATGATTGAAACATCCTTTTAAATCTTGGAATTGGTGGAAAATACCACACTACCTTTGATGGGACACCCTCTTTCAAGATTGAATCTTTGCCTTCCTTCCATCTTGAGATTCCATAAGTAGGACAATGAGTTGAATGTTCATACTCCTTCCTGTACAAGATGCAATCATTGGGGCATGTGTAGATTTTCTCATAACTCAGCCCCAGTGCACACAAAGTCTTTTTTGCCTCATACATACAAGAAGGTATTGTATTTCCTTATGGAAGCAATTCTCCTTGAAGTATTAACAATTCTGTAAAATAGAAATCACTCATCCCATGTTTTGCCTTCAAATTATATAACTTCACTAATGCCGACAACTTGGTGTACTTACTACAATTAGGGTACAAGGGTTGATCTCCATCGCCAATCACATTGCCGAACTCATAAGGATCGGATCCAAAATCGCCTAAATCATTATCATCCATCTCTATTTCTTCAGACACAAAACTATACTTACTATGTTCATCATCTTCTTCCACATTTCTACTAGCATTAGTAGTTTCTTGCCAAGGTTCTCCGTGAAATGTCCAATTCTTATAACTTTGGTCAACTCCATTAAAGTATAAGTGGTCCCTTATAATTCCAACCCCAAACAATCGAACATTCCCACATTTAACACATGGAAAGTGAATATGTGTTGTGGTTAGAAGATTTTCTATTGAAAATTTTGAAAATGCTTCCACCCCTAACTCATATGCCTTCGATCTTCTATCTGCGTGCATCCATGACTTATCCATCTCCGACAAAATACCCTATTATTTATAATAAGGTGAAAAGACAAGCAATGACCATCACTATAGTAGATTATAATTACTTTGATAGAAAGTAATTTAACATAAAGACGATGGTTTTTTTTTAAACATCCGACGTTTTATACTTATACAGACGTCGGTTTTTAAAAAAATTGACGTTTTAAGCTAGTAAACAATGATTCTAAAACAACAATACAGACGACAGTAGTTAAATAAACATTGCCTTGTAGATAAATAAAGGCGACGGTTTTTAAGAAAAATCGTCGTCAAACTCTTAAAGAAAAGGAGGCTAAGTCTTCTTTTATTCAGACCATTTCCAAGAACCCAACATATTTTAACAACCCATAACATTGAATTTTTATGAAAAGCATGCAAATATTAAAGCCATTCCCTATTCATAACAACAGATATTGATGAAGAACATACCTACGAAAACATTAAAAGATCGCAAAACCCATATCTAAAACCCAACAATGCAGTCTATGATTTTATAATAATCTTCTAATATTTGCACGCTTTAGGACCCATAACAACCCAAGAACCCATAACATTGAATTTTTATGTTAACAACCCAGAACTGAATATCAATCAATGAATTAAGAAGTAGGATGTTAGGGTTTGTACTTACAGGCTAAACACTTAACTCTGAAATCATTGTCAGTTACACGTTGGGAAAGTCGTATTGAAAGTGTAAGAGCAATAAGATTCCAAGCTGCAGATTTAAGAGAAGCTTTACTTCAGTTAGCAGAAAGTGACGGTGACTCCAAAATAACTAGTGAAGCTAATTCTTTGGCAACATATGAACTTGGAAATTTTGAGTTCTTATTGGGGATGGTTATTTGGTATGATATATTAGGTGCTGTCAATGTAGTTAGCAAAAACTTACAATCTGAAGACATGCTTATTGATGTTGCTATTGATAAAGTGAAAGGGTTGATTACTTTTTTGAAAAGTATAGAGAAAATGGGTTTACAGAAGCTATGTGTACTGCTAAAGAAATTGCTGCTGACATGGGAATTGACCCGGTGTTTCCTGAGAAGCGAAAAATTCGTAGAAAAAAACATTTTGATGAGAATACTTGTGAGCCATCCCAATCAATTCCTGAATCAGCTGAAGAAAAGTTTAGAATTGATTATTTCTTGTATTTAGTGGATCAAGCTATTGGTTCTTTACGAAGAAGGTTTCAACAATATCAAGAGTATGAGAATATTTTTGGGTTTTTGTTTACTTCAGAGAAGTTAAATTCATTGGATGATTGCGATTTGAAAAATAGTTGCAGTCATCTGGAAAGCATTTTGAAAAATGACAAGTTTTCTGATGTCGATGGGGAGGATTTATTTGTTGAGTTGAAAGTTTTGCGGGAGCTTTTACCAAAAGAAAATACCACAGCTACTGCAATATTAAATTTCTTGAAAAGATTAAATTGTTTTCCAAATGCATTCATTGCATATAGAATCCTATTGACTATTCCTGTTACTGTTGCATCTGCAGAAAGAAGTTTTTCAAAATTAAAATTGTTAAAATCATACTTGCGATCAACTATGTCGCAAGAAAGATTAAATGGACTAGCTTTGATTTCAATTGAAAGTGAACTTCTTGAAAAACTTGATTATGAACATTTGATTGATGATTTCTCTTCTAAAAATTCAAGAAGATCAATTTTCAGACATTAGTATTGTACTAGCTGTGGTTTTTTTTCTTTTGGGGTAAAAGCTCTCGTAATAATTTTAATTCTTCAAATAAGACAGCAAATACAATGTGAATGATTTTTGGATAATCAGGTATGTTTTTGTTGTTGCTTTTTTGTTTAATGCAATATAATCTAATTTGTTAATGACATTTGTGTGCAACTACTCTTTAATTTGTGATTGCCAATTTTTTTTCTTCTATTAAACACAGATTGCTTATTGGAGGCAACAAAGGACCTTACAGGGGCACAAGGAGCTTATTTTTGTACCAAACATTTAACTTTATCAAATGGAAACATTGAAATTTTTATGAATTTGATTTCTGATTGTCATTGCATATTTATTGATGGTGAATTTTAGTTATAAAAAAAATTGTTTATGACATTAAGTTATGGCAAATTTTTATAGTATTTTTGTATTAGATTATGTGAGGCCCAATTTAAGTTTCGCACAGGGCCCTCAAAATCTCAGGGACGGCCCTGCAGGCAGGCAGAGCTCACAGATTATGGCCTTCTTGGATTCGACAGATTATGGCCTCCTTGGATTCGACAGATTATGACCTCCTTGGATTAGAGTTGAAGTGAGAGAGCAAAATGTTAGAATTGAAGTGAGAGAGCGAAATGTAGACTTAGAGCGAAATCTGAAAATTTTAGGTCGCGACCAAATTTTTAGAAAGCGCGCTTCTTTAAACATCGACGGAAATCATACAAAACCGTCGTTAAAAACACGTCCGTTAATATATGAAATACGACGTCGTAAGGCATTAAGACGGCGATAAAACATAAAACGGACGTCGAATGCACTAAATAATATTCTTGGGATTTGGATTTGTTGGGATTCGAACGCGTGTGCGCAAGGGACAGAAAAAAAAAATACAACCTTGGCATCATGCTAAACCCTAAACCCTAAACATTAAATTATAAATTTGTAAAACAAAATTATAAAAAAGGTTTAGGGTTGAACCCTAAACCCCTAAACCCTAACCCTAAATAATAATATATTTTTTAAAAAAAATTGTAAAAAAATACAAATGTTTGAGAAAAATAAATTGAAAATTGCTACGGACTCCTTACGACAATGCCGTCTAAATTAGATTGCTAAAAACAATATTTAAATATAGAAATATATATATATATATATATATATATCCCCACCAATGAATGACACAAGCCATATGATTGTTTGAAGAAACTATAAGGGATGTTGTGATTTATATGTTTATGTGGACATTTTTCATTTTTATAACTCAAATTATATTTTTGAAAGCTTTAGGACAAAGAAAATATCTTATTGACTGCATAGGAGTTGTGGTGTATTTTTTTGGAAATTTTACAAGTTTATTATGAATATAATGAATTAAGGTCAATAAAAAATTGTTATAAACACAACAAACCACGTTGGTTTTAAATCCAGATACCAATGTTGTACGCATGTTAAACTTCGGTGTTTATATAGATACGGACGTTGTAAATCATTTACGATGTCACAGGATTAGGACGTTGTTTCGATTCTCCAACGTTGCCTGTGGTATTAACCGACGGGGTAAAGAGCATAGACGTTACACAGCTTATAAATAAAACGACGTTGTAGTGAAGTTCAGAAGTCAGAAAATAAGTCAAAACTGCCACTAAATAAGATATATAAGATGTCAGGCCTATATACGTCGCGTAAATAAAATAATGTCGTTGTAAGTTTTTGACCAGACGACGGTTGTTAAAAGGGATGTCGTTGAAATTGCATAAGACGTCGTTTGTTATCAAGTTATCTACGTGGTATTTGCTTCATGGCTCTTTTTGTGTTAGCAATGTCGTTTATTGTCTTTTAAAATGTACCGTCGTGTTACAGGTGTTTACATGTCATTTAATGAATTTACCGTCGTTTGTTTATTTTCAAGTTTCTTAAGACGTCTGTTGTTGAAACTATTATGTCATTGGAAGGGCCTTCAGACGACAATTTACAGAGTTACTTTAGTTTTAAAAACTGAAAACCAATTTTTATTGACAGCCAAAAAAAACATATACATTATACCTTAAACCCTGTACAAAAAATTTTATATTCTAAACAAAAAAATGTACATTTTTCATAATTGTTTGTAAAAATCCTTTACTCCATATGAAGGCAAACAAAATCTGCCCATTCTTTCCTCACTTCTTCAATGGCTTCTTGGGGGTATGGTGCTTGATCTTTTGCCTTTTTCAAACTACAATCAATAAAACATCATTATTTAGCATTCATGACTGGTTTTGTAGGATCTGTGGCAGAGTAAATAGAGTTACCATCATGGTATATCGATTCAAACAACGGTAATTCTATTTTCCGTCGTCCACTTACAAAAACCACAGAAATTAAAATCCTAGAGTTTTCCATTTACCTTCTTCTCAAACTCTAGAGAAGGATCTATGATGATGTCTCTCATAAAGCGCATGACATAATAGTGTTCACTTGTTTTGTGTTTGCTCCTGTGATGGAAGGGTAAAGTTCCCCATTGCCTTGAAAACCATTGACTGGTCAACAAGTCAACTTTCTTTAGTGTGCGAGCGTGCCACTGCTAGCAATAAAAATCCTAGTAGACTTCTTAAGAATAGATAACTTGCACCCCAAGTTACTGATTTCTAAACAAGCGATTGTGGATTTGGGTGAGGAATGTCTCCCAAGTAAGTTGTTTTCCTGCCTCAGACTGGTGAGGACTTCATAATTTTTCACAGTACAATGTTGCTAGTTTTGACCAGAGTAAATAGTAAGAAAATGAACTATTTTTAGGCGAAACTGACTTTTACAAAACTCTACAGCAAAAAATCAACTCTAGAAAGACAAAAAGAAGGCTAGACTTCCATTTCTGCCTGGACAGAAACTTCTGATCTAGTCTGGACTGGGTATGCATGTGCTGGATTGGACTGTTCCCAACTTCAACTGCTAAGCTTCAGCTATAAATCGATACCAAAGTTTGAGTTTGGCAGAGCTTTAATCTATTTTGAGCCCTGGGAGGCCTTTTGAATGGGCAAAGTTGTGGCCTTTTCAGTCTGAAAGGTAGAAGTGGCTGGACTTTAGGATTACTGAGTTGGAACTGCATTGTGGTGTCACAGAAGGAGGTGAGCTTGATGTTGCGATCTACAACGATGATTTTGGCATCGCCACTGATGTATGCGAGCTGGTGTTCTTGCAGGCGAGGCTGGTTGGGGTGGGGGTAGGGTGGGTGTTGTCGGGAATGGGGGGAGAGAAGGAGAGAGAGTTTTTTAAAAAATGTTATTTAATTATTGTTTTACTTTTTCTTTTAATTTTAAATACTCAAAGGTTTAAAAATCGAAGAGTTAACTATGGTTCTAAGTATGGACAAGTGTCAAGTTATAAGAAGGGTAGTGATGATACACATTGGGTTAAAGTAGTGAGCAAAAATGTTGTCGCCAAGTGGAGGAAGCAAATAAGAATTAGAACACTACCATCGATAAGGATTGAACAGACAAGAAGTAGTATTATCTTTTGGTTTCTTTATTATAAAAGAATGTGGGTGTGCATCATCCAAGTGAAGAAATAATGATAGCTGACGCACCAAAATATCAAGAAGGCAGTGTAGATAAGATTGGAGTGCGATTCCTTGATGATGGGAGGTGTCCGTTTTGGTTGCCTTTGAACCTCTATAAATATAGAAGGCTCCCAACAAACAAAAAGGAACCCCAAACCCACCTAATCAAATACAACTACTCTGTCAAAATGATCAAGTTCAATGATTTAAACAAATTATTCAAGCCTTTGAATACAGAAGCGAAGCTAGCAAAGGTGCCAAGGACCTCCAAAGCTATCCTCGAGATTTTGCTCAGAATTCTAGCTCACGATCCCAACCACTTTTGGCTCCAACTTGAAGAAAGCTCTGCCAGTACACAGTAATTGGTATCAATTGCCAGCTAAATTCCAGTTAGTTGAAGGTATTGCCAATCTAAAAGAACATTTTAGACGAGTGCATAGTGCTACATGTAAGTTAGGAGTACAAGGGCCGTTCTTGAGTTTTTTAAGGCCTATGACGAAAGGTTAAGCCTTTTTTTGCCCCAATATTTAAATAAAAATTTCATTTCTCCAATAATTCCAACAAAAAAAAAAAAAAAAAAAAAAAAAAAAATTGAAGAACTTTTACTGGCTAAGATTGGATGTAGACTCAATTAAGGCCAACAATTAATACACATTGGGAAAAAACACATTTCATAACATTTTAAATATTTTTATTTTGTTTCTCCTCCCTTCTAACTCTGCATTCTCCTTTTGTTTTCAACTCGCTATACATCTTTTATCACTCCCAAGGCCACCCACTTGAAAACTATTCTTTTTAGGCTTTACTGCTATAGTGCCCCCTGAAAAATTGGTCAATTCCCACTTAACTCCCTTAAAGTTAAAGTGACCCACTATGCCCCATTTACCAAGGTTTTGTGTGTTACTTAACCACTTTCCGTCAATGCCATCCTAAGTTCCGTTAAAATGATGACGTGGCAGGGGTGTATTGGTCAATTCAACTGAGCTGGGATTTTTCCCACCAATCTGAGGTTGTGACGTGTACTTGTGGACCCCACATCTAACAACTGATGTAGCTAAAACGATCGTTGGGCTTGCTGATGTGGATTTGTGGACCCCATCTCTAACCAAACAACCACTATAATCTCTGAAAACTCAAAATTGAAAAGAGGAAATTAGCTTGGGAGGGAAAATTGAGATTTAGGGATATTAGATCTAGGGTTTGTTCACCCGTTTTAGATTTGTTCCTGTGATGATAGGGTAAAGTTCCTTATTGTCTTAAAAACCATTTGTGGTCAACAAGTCAACTTTCTTTTGTGTATGAGCATGCCACTACTAGCAATAAAAACCCTAGTAGACTTCTTTAAAAATGTACAACTTGCGCCCTAAGTTACTGATTTCTAAACAAGCGATTGTGAATTTGGGTGAGGAATATCTCCCAAGTAAGTTTTTTTCTTTCCTTAAACTGGTGAGGACTTCACAATTTTTCACAGTACGAACTAGTAGTTATGGCTAGAATAAATAACAAGAAAGTAAACTGTTTCAGGCAGAACTGCCTTTTACAAGACTCGGAAAGGGAAGGACCAATTCTAAAAAAGGATAAAAGAGAATTGGACTTCAATTTCTACCTGGATAGCTACTTTTGATTCGGACTGAATTGGATGTATTCGTGTTGGATTGGACTATCAACACCTTCAACTGGCAAGTTTCAGCTATAAATCGATTCCAACGTTTGAGTTTGGCAGAGGTTTAATCTATTTCAAGCATGGGAAGACTTTTTGAACGGGCAGAATTGGAACCTTTTCAGTCTGGAAGGAGTAGAAGTGGCTGGATTTGATGATTACTGAGCTGGAACTGCGATGTAGTACTTGTTCTGCTTGATCAGGGCTCTCCATAAATTTGTTGAGGTTTTAATATTTGCAAAACCTGAACTTTGCTTGTTTTGGCTTATGCTGAACCAAATTTGTAACGAGAAAAATTTCGCTTTGTATGACTATTTCTCTGAAACTAAACTGAATTAGAGATTCCGAATTCTAGCTTGATGAGCTTTGGTTGCTTCAGTGTTTTGAAGGTTTTTTGAGATCAAGTGATCATTTTGAGTTTTTTTTTTATTGATGTTTTTTGGTTGTCCTTTGATCTGTTCACCTTCTCTCATATTTATATATAAAAAAATGCTGGAGTGGGATTTCTAATCTTTTTATAATGGGTGGCAAATTTTCCAAAAACTTTTTTTTTTTTTTTTTTTTTTTTTTTTTTTTTTTTTAATGTAAAAGAAGGAAGCTATTATTTTGGCAGAGAAGGGCCATTCACATTTAACTTTCATGAAGGTCTTTTCCTTGCTTTTCTGAAAGAAAACCAACTCTCTTTGTTCTCTATTTGTTCCCTGCAAAAGGAAAAACACATTTTGCCATGATGGTCAGTTTGCTTTTTCTGGTGAACAACTCATTTGCTCCCTACTTATCTCTTGAAACTGTAACCTGCTTATCTCTTGGAAATATAACATGTTTGAGTGCAGAGCTTCTGTGCATATAGAGAGGGGATTTGATCTTCTTTTCCCTAGAGAAGAAAAAATGGAGAAGTTTTGTAAGACCTGACTTCATTAACTCCCTATCACTTCCTTTGTTTTAGTTGAGAATAGACTTTCCAAGAAGAATCTGCTGGCTTGTTTATGGGCTTTTTGAGAGTAATGATGAGAATTTAGAAGCTGGGCCCAATCCAATTCTTTCTTTAGAATTTTAATGATCTACTTGGTGGTCAATTTTTCCATTGTAAAAGACATGGGCCTCTAATGTGGATTGGGCTTTTTCTTTTGGAGTCAAGGCCCAATCTTTTGTTTTCCTGTTCCTGGGCTTCTTTTTAGGCCTAAACAGGGTTTGGGCATACGATTGAGAGAGGGAGAGTGATATGAGTTGGTTTCGAAATCTTGAAGGCAAGAAGAAGCAACATGACTAGACGACGATGCTCGTTTGGCAAGAAGCAGGGGAAGCGCACGTCTGCCTATTCAATTAGGCGTCGTGGGGAAATGGGTTCTAACGGCTAATTAAATCTTGGAGAAAACTCCTTTCTTCCCACTCTCCCCCTGATCTTTCTGCTCAATTTATAAACATTGATGAACCTTCATTACTGTTCATCAAAACCTAGTTCTGTCTCAGCTTCCATTTCCTTTGAAACCCTCTGTTCTTTTCAGTTTTGTTCCTTCCAATCCTCTTATGTTCATCTCAATTCGAGAAAAATGTTTTCTCCAAACACTCGTGCCAAGGGTTTTTCCTCTTCACGATCTCCTGCTTATCTCACCAGAGATGGCGTTGATAATCACGCCATGGAGGTTCGAAGCAAGCTACATTCATTTGCGCAAAAGAATTTGGACGAGAATGTCCTTCATCTTTCGAGAACACCCTTGTTATGGGCTCTCATTGGTTTGGTTCTATACCGAAGGAGATGGCCATTTTGTTCAGGGATGATGCTGAGGCCCCTCTGTGTTATCAAAGTTCTACTTCCCTGGCCTCTCACACCTGGGTCAACGATATGCTACTCAACTGTCTAGACTGCATAATTAGGATATGAGAACTTTTAAGTAGCAGGTACAAGAAGATTTGTTTGTGATAGCTTCTAAATCCAAAATATATATGGCAAGGTAGAAGACAACATCCATAACTGAAGGGGACTTATGAAAAACAGTATGAGTTATTATGGGCAGTTAAACAAGGGTTTTTGCAAGGTTGTAGGCCAGTGATAGGATTTGATGCTTGTCATATCAAAGGTCGTCACTTTGGACAATTGTTATTTGCTGTTAGTGTGGATCCTAACAATGGCATGTATCCTATTGTGTATGCAGTGGTTGAGGTGGAGAATTATGAAACATGGTCATGGTTTTGTCAATTGTTAGCAGAAGACCTTGGAATCGAAAACAACACAGGATGTCTTTATCATAGACAAGCAAAAATGCTTGATTGATGTAGTATATGATAATTTTCCAAATGTTGAGTGCAGACACTGCCTCAAACACTTAGAAGCAAATTTTTTGTTTCATGGTCACAGAGGATTGGTGTTGAAATTGTAAATGGAGAAAATTTCAAGGAGCACAACCATCCCATGATGGGATGCTGAGATGAAAAATATGACACAATTGAGCCAAGCTGCATATGATTGGGTGGCGGCCTTAGATCCATCACAATGGTGTAGAGCTCACTTTAAAACTCATTCCAAATGTGACATCCTTTTGAATAATATGTGTGAGGCTTTTAATGGTGCCCTTGAAGAAGTTAGAGACAAACCCATTTTAACCATGCTAGAGAGGATTAGATACTATATTATGTTGTTGAGGGCAACTAGAAGAGCATCTCGTGAGAGATGGAAACATGACATTGGTCCAAGGATTTTTGGCATTTTGGAGAAAACAAAGAAAAAATCAGCTTGGTGCATTCCAAAGCTTACTGGGGAGAGTTTATATGCCATGCTAGATGATTTATTCTCTTATATTAGATATGTCATGCTAGATGATTTATTCTCTCATAGTTTGGTTGGAGATTTCAAGAAATCTCTACACCACCCCTTCCCAAAATATTCCCTTCATGAATAGCTTTGTTAAGCCGGTGAGTCACAGCTCGGAGCTCATAGAAGTCATATAACGTGCTACCGTTGTGCCTGGGGCTCAGCCTGCAAAGAGGAAATATATATGTTTTTATATTTAAAGAGTATAGCCGTCCCTTTTAAATATATTCGAATATTTAAATAGCATAGCCGCGTGCTCATACTGTTTAAATGGATTTTAATATTTAAAGTGTATAGCCGTTCAGCTATACTTTTTAAATATATTCGAAAATGCCCAAGAGAAAAAAATCAACTGGACCATGTATTTTCTGAAGAAATCTTACTAGCTACTGCCACTGTTGTTGATTAACTTTGAATGTTACTGTAATGTTAGATAAATTTGGGAACACTCCTTTGCTTGAAGATCAAGTAGCTTCTTTACTTGTTAAGGGGCGTCGCTTACTATTGATGATGCTGGTGATTTTCTCTGTATTACGGTATCAAGGAGGAATTTGGACCTCCTGAAGAGGCTTTTAGCTAATGACATTAACCCAAATACGAAAAATTATGATCAGCGATCACCACTTCTGGTTAGACTAATAGCAGAATTCCTTCTAGAAGCAGGAGCAAGTGTTCTATCAAAGGACAGGTACAATCTGAGTGTTCATCTTGCTTGTCAGATATCTATTCTTTAAATTTCTTTAAGCTCCTAAATCCAATAGGATCCAATGAAGTTATAGGGGCAATGGACTCGAGAAGATGAACACTATTTTGATAATTCTGGTTAGACTAAAGCAAAGGACTGCCTATTTAAAATATAAATAATTCCAACATGCATGTTTAACCTTTCTAATTAGTGTACTTCTTGATTGCAGATGGGGAAAGCACTCCACTCGATGAAGCCCGTATTAGTGGAAATAAGAAACTATTCAAACTGCTTGAAGTTGCTATTGCTTCGTAGTTGTTAGAGTTCTCTGATCAATATCATCAAGAAACTACCTAAGCATTGTTGATGCTCTTTTTCGGAGAGGGTCAACTTAGAGAAAAAGGGGTTTGCCTTCAGCAGGGAAAGGGTCTGGGCCTTCAATAAAGGCTAGCATGCATAAGACAAAAATAGGGGAAGCAGTTGTTAAGCTCCGGGCACCGGTGTGGTGCCGGCCGAAGGCTCTCCGATGCTTAAGTCAGCTAAGAAGGGTAACCTTTGCAGAGTAACAGTAAAAAGCAGAAAAGTAGTTACCCCTCTTACTAGGGTACTGTTCCCTTTTTATAGGGAAGTGAAAGTGGGAGGTTGGTGTAGATTTCCGATGTGGGACTTTGTGCAAGTCGCCGCGGTGGTGACACGTGTCATGAGATTTAGGTTTAGCAGTTTGTGAGCTTTGGTAGTCGGGAGTTTCGGCAGGTGCTTGGCACCTCGGAAGAGTGTCTTCCTTTGGCAGGAGAGAGGGCGTGTCTGCCTTGTTGCTAGTTGTTTTGAGACTGGACATGCTTGGTTGATTATGGTGTAAACAGTAGTCCCCCAAGTTCGCGGTCAAGAAGTGACTTCTGGGTTGGGAACTTGTAACTTTTGCGTGATCATGACCGAGCATTCCAGGTTCAGTGGGAGCCGTAGGGCAGTCCCTAGTCCCCCAAGTTGTCAAGCTAGAAGTTGCGTTAACACTTGGAAGGTATGATAAAAGCTGTGTTAGCCTCAGTGTTTGTTGGTAGCTGGGTACCTTTAAAAGAAAAGTAGACTTGGGTTTTTGATCTTCAGTAAGAAAATCTGTGGGCCTTAGTGTTTATGACCCGGGTCCTGCCGTTTGGTAACCAATTGATGGTTTTGAGTAGCAAAGGCCTGGGTCCCAAAAGATTGGGCTGAAGCTTGAAGGAGAAAAGAATATGGGCTTCCATTTTTCCATTTTCCTAGCCCCCTTGCCATTCGGGGCCTTTTTTTTTTATTTTGTTTTTTTTTTAAGTGGTATGGGCTTGGGTAACACATATTTGTTGAGCTGGGCATGGGATTTTGGTAAAGAGAATTCCTTGGGATCCCATTTCGCTAGTGCCCAAAATAGGAGCTGGGCTCGCTCTCTTTTTGTTTTTTGTTAATGGCCATGTGGTATGAGCTTGGGTAACACATATTTGTTGAGCTGGGCATGGGATTTTAAGGGGAAGCACGAAGGTGGCCATGGATCTGGATGATCCCGAGATGCAGAAACGGCTGGGGGAGTCTCGGGCCAAGAAGGTGGAGAAGGGAGGTGCTCAACAGGCTGTTGGGGGGCGTCCCAAAGATGATGAAGGCCTGGTCTCTAATGTGTTAGGAAAGAAGAGAGCGCTGGAGGAAGCTCACCGGAGCGTGATGGGGACAGGGTCGAGGCTTCCTCCCTTTGACCTGCAGGCGCCGCCGAAGCGCCCCTTTGGTATGGATGATGTTTACGCCGAGGGGGTGGAGAAGGTGGACTTCTCTAGGCTGCGTCGGCAGAAGAAGGAGGTGAACCTGGCCATGCATCGGCAGGAGGTTCCCTTGGTGAACGTCTTCCTGGAAGGCGTGAAGAGTAACCCAGAGGTTCTGGTAAGGACCCCGGCTACCTCCTATGCAGATCGGACCCAGAAGACGCTTCTTACCCAGGCCTATGTAAGCTGTCCTATTTTAAGAATTTGTTCATATAATTCGAATTTGCCTTTAACTGATCATGCTTTGTGTTGCAGGCTTATGGCGAGATGTATGTGAATATGGCCAAGGCGGATAAGGAGATCCAGAGGTTGAAGAGGCGCAATGAGATGGCCAAGGATAAGATAGCGGTGGCGCAGGAGGCCATCCAAGAGAAGAACACGCTAGTGTTGCAGAAAGCGGCGATGGCCAAGGAGATGGAAGAGCTGAAGCGGTTGAGGGTTGAGGAGGTAACTGCTGCCCGAGTCGAAGCGATCGAGTCGTTTCGGGGTTCGGAGGAGTTGAGGAGCTACATCATGGATCAGATGATGGCGATGCAGTTGGGTTGGGAGGAGAGGGTGGCGATGTTCAACCCTTCGGTGGAGATTAACTTTGACACGAGTGGCGAGCCTCCCTCATCTAGTCATACCACTGATGCCGCTCCAGAGCCAGAGCCAGAGCCAGCCACCACGGATGCTCCATCTACCGAGTCTTGAAGGCGTTGCCTTCTCTATGTATTCTAGCTTTTTAGTTTAAACACTTGATGTTTATTTTGCTTATGTATGAACATTTTGCCTTGCCTGGGGCAAGGTTACTTTGATTTGCTATGATATTAGACTTGTTGTTATTTGATATCAATTTTGCTTAGCAAAATGAGAACCATGTGATTGATGAAAATGAGCCAGGGTCGGGCGTTCATTAAATATGTGCCGGAAGGCAAAAAGTACAAGAGTTGGTTGAGTCAAGGCTCGAGACCAAAGTCTAAGAAAACATAATGGTCTAGGGTCTAGGTATGTTTACTTATAGTAGTACTTGAGGTGATTAGCATTCCAAGGATGAGGCAAGGTCTTGCCCTTGGTATCACGAAGCTGATAAGTGCCGGGGCGGCAGACTTTGGTAACCTCATAAGGACCTTCCCATGTTGGGCCCAAGGTACCTTCAGTAGGATTCTTGGTGGCCAAGGAAATCTTGCGCATGACCCAGTCCCCAAGTTTGAAAGCAAGGGCTTTGACTCGGGAGTCGTAGTGCTTAGCGATGCGCTGTTTGTACGGGACATTGCGCATGTTGGATTGGTCACGAAGCTCATCAATGAAGTCGAGGTTCAGGGCTAGCTGCTCGTCATTGGCTTCGGCCTCATAAGTGGAGGTGCGGTATGTGGGCTGGCCAATCTCCACTAGTGCCACTGCTTCGGTACCAAAGGAGAGAGAGAAAGGTGTTTCTCCTGTTAAGGTCCGGAAGGTGGTGCGGTAGGACCAGAGAACCTCTGGGAGTAGCTCTGGCCAGCAGCCCTTAGCTTTGTCAAGCTTGGTTTTTAGAGTTTTCTTGATGATCTTGTTCACAGCTTCCACCTGGCCATTAGAATGAGGATGGGTCGGGGAGGCGAAGCAAAGCTTTATCTTGAGGTTGGAACAAAATTGCTTGAACTTTGCGTTGTCAAATTACCGGCCATAGTCCGTGACGATGGTGTTGGGGATGCCAAAGCGACATACGATGTTTTGCCAAACAAAAGTTTCGATGCGAGCTGCAGTGATGGTGGCTAAGGCCTCAGCTTCAGCCCACTTGGTGAAGTAGTCCACAGCTACAACTGCATACTTGACTTGGCCCTTGCCCTTAGGCTTAGGTCAAATGAGGTCAAGTCCCCATTGGGCGAATGGCCAAGGACTGACCATGGCTGTCAATGGCTCAGCTGGAAGTTGTGGGATGTTGGCAAATCGTTGACACTTATCACACTTCTGGGTGAAGGTCTGGGCATCAGTGTGAAGTGATGGCCAAAAGTATCCCTGCCGAATGATCTTGTGTGCCTGAGTGGTTGCCACAGATACCCTCATGAATCTCCCTTAGGACATAGGTACCTTCCTCTGGGGTCAGGCACCGAAGGTGGGGGAGGCTGAAGCCGCGCTTGTATAGGGCGCCATTGATGATCAAGTATCGAGCGGAACGATAGCGAACACGCCGCGCTTCAGCAGGATCAGCAGGTAGTGTCTGGTTATGCAAGAACTGAGTGATAAGGTCCATCCATGTAGGGCTTTGATCGATGACACAAATGAGTGGTGCCCATGTGCTGGGCTGGTCCAAGAACTCGATGTGGATGTTGCGACCTATGCCCTGCTCCATTGCCGAGGCTAGCCTTGCTAATGCATCAGCATGGCTGTTCTCGGAGCGTGGCACCTGGCCTATGAGATAAGCATTGAAAGTTGTAAGTAGGTGGCGGGTATGTTGGAGGTAGGCTGTCATGGAGACGTCCTTGGCCGTGAAGTCCTGGTTGACTTGGTGGACAACAAGCTGCGAGTCGCTGAATATTTGGATTTGCTTGGCGCCCATCTCCTTGGCTAGTAGAAGGTCGGCTAAGAGTGCTTCGTATTCAGCCTCATTGTTGGAGGCGTGGAATTTGAAGCGGAGGGTGTACTCAAGGGCAACCTTGTCTGGGGATATGAGAATGAGGCTAGCTCCACATCCCTAGGCATTGGAAGAGCCATCCATATACAAGGTCCATAAGGGCTGAGTTAAATCTAGGGAGCCGTTGCTAGCGACGTGAACCCAGTTCGAGGTAAGAGTAGGCGTGATTACAATCTGAGGACTGGCCAGAGTATGGGGTTCAGTGAATTCAGATATGAAATCAGTCACGGCTTGGCCCTTTGTGGCTTGGCGGGGTTTATAGTGGATATCAAACTCACCAAGTTCAATGGCCCACTTAACTAACCTCCCAGAAGTTTCTGGCTTCTGCAGCACTTGCCTGAGTGGTTGGTTGGTTAAGACATGGATGATGTGAGCTTGAAAGTATGGTCGGAGGCGTCTAGCCGAAACCACCAGGGCGAAAGCAAGTTTCTCAATGTCTGGGTATCGAATCTCCGCATCTTGCAATCCTTTGCTCACATAGTGCATCGGATGCTTAGCACCTTCGTGTGGTCGAATGAGCACTGAGCTAACCGCTGTAGCCGAGACAGAGAAGTAGATGGTGAGGACGTCTCCAGACTCAGGGGTTGACAATAAAGGGGCTCGGCTCATGTACTCCTTGAGCTCGTCGAATGCCTGGTCACATTCGGCAGTCCAGGTAATGTTGCGTTTGCTACCCTTAAGTGCCTTGAAGAATGGGGCGCAACGATCAGTGGCCTTAGAGATAAATCTGGTCAGGGCTGCGACACGCTTGGTAAGGCTCTGAATGTCCTTGACCGTCTTGGGTATCGTCATGTCCAAGATAGCCTGGATCTTCTCTGGGTTGGCCTCAATACCTCTTTGGCTGATCATGAAGCCAAGGAATTTGTCGGAGGCCACCCCAAATGCACACTTCGTGGGGTTGAGCCGTATCTTATACTACTTCAAAATGGTGAACATGGCAGAGAGGTTAGGGATGTGCTGGTCAGCAGGGCGACTGTTGACTAGCATGTCATCAACATAAACCTCCATAGTGTTGCCAATTAGTGGAGCGAAGATGTTGTTCACCAAACGCTGATACGTAGCCCCAGCGTTCTTGAGGCCGAAAGGCATGACTTTGTAGCAGTAAAGGCCACGGTCAGTGATGAAGGATGTATGAGCTTGGTCCTCAGGGTGCATGAAGATCTGGTTGTACCCTGAGTAAGCATCTATGAAGCTGAGGAAGGCGTGGCCAGCTGTGGCGTCAACTAGCTGGTCAATACGGGGTAGGGGAAACTATCCTTTGGGTAGGCCCGGTTGAGATTTGTGTAGTCTACGCACATGCGCCAACCCTTCCTTAGTTTACGTACCATTACCACATTGGCTAGCCAGGTGGGATAATCCACCTCTTTGATGAATCCAATGGTGCTCAGCTTATCCACCTCCGCCTTCATGGCCTCATACCGCTCTGGGTCATAAGCACGACGCTTCTGCCGAACGGGTCGGACGGCAGGATTAATGCTTAGCCTATGGGAGATGACGTCAGGTGATATGCCCGACATATCATTGTAAGACCAAGCAAAGACTTCAGAGTTGAGGCAGAGGAAGGCAATAAGATCAGAGCGAAGCTCTTGTGAGAGAGAGGTGACCAGTTGGAGGTCCTCCACAGGTTCGGCCTGTTGGGTGGCAGATTCCTCCCTAGGGTCTTCTGGGCGCTCAATGCCAGCTCGAGGTGGGGCTGGGGCCTGGGTTACCGCTAGGGCCTCACCCCTATGTTGGCGATTGGTAGACTTTACTGCCGAAGCATAGCAGCTTCGGGCGCCAAGTTGATCGCCGCGCACCGTGTCCGTGCCATGGGGCGTAGGAAATTTCAACAGTAACATATGTGTGGAAATGAAAACCTTCATGTGGGCCATGGCAGGGCGTCCCAGGATAACGTTGTAGGCTGTGGGGCAATCAATAATGAGGAAAGGGAGTGGTGACCGTCGTTCGCTGGGGTGCTGCTCCAATAGAGATAGGGAGATGAATGCTCCCGATAGGCTGGACCACATCACCCGAAAAGCTCACCAGGGGTGTGACGCTTCGGTCGAGCAAATGAGACAGGACTTGGAGCTCATTGAAGGCATCAGCAAACATCACACTAACCGAGCTGCCAGTGTCTACCAAGATGTGCCCAACGTCAAAGTTAGATATGTCGGTGCGGATAATGATTGGGTCATCATGAGGGAGGATAACGCCACGCTCCTCCTCCTCGCAGAAGGTAATGGAGGCCCAGTCTGTTTTTTGTGTCTTCGGCAAGCGTCCCTGCTCAGTGCTGAAGACCTGGTGCGCATAGGTGGAGCGGACATAATGTTTGATGGAGTTGTTGGAGGTTCTAGCCATGGTTGGGCCACCACTGATGGTTGAGATCATGTTGATCTGCCGTTGGTAAGGGTTAGGTGGGGGTGGGAGGTTGTGCACGTATTTATCCAGCTTCCCCTCGCGAATAAGTCCCTCAATGATGTTGCGCAAGGCAACACAAGATTCGGTATCATAGCCACCGAACTGATGAAAGAGACAGAAGACACCTGTGTTAGGCATAGGCTTGCTGCCTGGTTTCCGGGGTGGAGGCTGAGGTATGATAGGTGCCTCGTGCACTAGGACATTCTCATAGGTAGTGTTGAGGGTGGTGAGGACCTCGAACCTGGGTTTGGGTGAGAATGGGCGTGGGGCCCGGTCATTTGTCCTGGGGGGGTTGCTTCCACTAGACTGGTGGTGGTTCCCATGTCTGCCCCGCTTGTTATTGCTGAAGGTATGCTGGTAGCTATCCTTCCTCTTGGGGTGCTTGGTGTAGGGGCAGAATGTTGAGGTGGAACTGGGATGGGTACTGAAGCAGGTGGAGGATCAGCAAAAGGATTACGCGCCGGGGTGGCCGGGCTGCGCTTGGAGTTGAAGTACTCAGCCTTAGCATGAACTGCTGCCTGCTTCATCAACTCGGCATATGTGTTCCAAGGGTTGCTGTGCACCAGGTACCGGAAGTTGGACTCTCGGAGGCCACTTTTGAAAGCACTGAAGGCGCCACGATCATCAGTATCTGGGCAGCGGGAGTACTCGTGGCTGAACCTGGTTGCATACTCCCGAAGGGGCTCGTCCTCACCCTGTCTAAGCATGTATAGGTCGTCCGCGGAGTAGAGGCGATCAGTTTGGATCATGAAATGGTCCAGGTAGGCCTGCTTCAGACTGTCAAATGTATTGATGGTGCGGGGGTTCAGTGTAGAAGGCGATGCGGAGTGGCTGGGTGTCATTCTCCTGGTGGTAATTAAGGATGCGTTCGGTAAAGGGCCCAGGTCGTGGCTTTGCCCAGAGGGGTTGGTGGTTTCGCTGCTGTTCGCTCTCCAGGCGCCGAACTTTCTCGAAGAGAAGCCTCATTGCCGGGTCGGTATGAGGGAGAGTCTCGGGTGCTGGGGGTCTGGTGTGTGGGTGGCCATGGGCTGGGTAGAATTCTTCGGACGCCTCGGTGTGATAAGACTCGTAGTCTTCTGAGTAATCCTGCCCCCAGTTCTCCGAGTCCCCTATACCTTCTCCAAGGGGTAGTTGGGTAGGCCTTGGCGGGGGGCCTAGGTGTGTCATCTTTGGGTCTTGGAGATTAACGGAGATAAGAGGGGGTTCCGTTTGACGGTCCAAGATACGGTCCCTGCAATCCCTGTAGACCTTTGTTGGTTCATGGGTCGATTCCTCGACGGGGAGATGCGGAGAAGCCGCGACTTGGTCGTCTCCGGATGGAGGGGGCCTTTACCCTTGCTGGGCCTAGGCTGGATTGGGACATTGTGGTGGGAGTGCTCTGGCTGGTTTGGCTGGGTACGCTGAGGTTCCTGAGTAAGGCTGCGTTGGGAGCCTTGGGCCTGATTCATCTCCCAGTTACGCTTCAGTGTGCGGTAGACATGCTCGAGCTCGACATTCTTAGCATGAAGATGGTCATATTTCTCAGACATCTTGGTGACACTGGCGCGGAGGCTCTCCAGTTCTGCCTGGAGATTGGCATTTGCTGAAGGTCTCCTCTGGGAGGTACCCCCATGGGGGGTATGGTGCTGAGTCCCCTAGCTATCCTCAGTAGGCATAGCTGAGTGTGGAGTGAAGAAGAGGCGACGGGCCTGGATAGGAGAAGGAGCCAGCTGGGCTGGTAGAGAAAAATGGGATTCAAGTATCGATTCCCACATACGGCGCCAAACTGTTGATGCTCTTTTTCGGAGAGGGTCAACTTAGAGAAAAAGGGGTTTGCCTTTAGCAGGGAAAGGGTCTGGGCCTTCAATAAAGGCTAGCCTGCAGAAGACAAAAATAGGGGAAGCAGTCGTTAAGCTCCGGGCACCGGTGTGGTGCCGACCGAAGGCTCTCCGATGCTTAAGTCAGCTAAGAAGGGTAACCTTTGCAGAGTAATAGTAAAAAGCAGAAAAGTAGTTACCCCTCTTACTAGGGTACTGTTCCCTTTTTATAGGGAAGTGAAAGTGGGAGGTTGGTGTAGATTTCCGATGTGGGACTTTGTGCAAGTCGCCGCGGTGGTGACACGTGTCATGAGAATTAGGTTTAGCAGTTTGTGAGCTTTGACAGTCGGGAGTTTCGGCAGGTGCTTGGCACCTCGGAAGAGTGTCTTCCTTCGGCAGGAGAGAGGGCGTGTCTGCCTTGGTGCTAGTTGTTTTGAGACTGGACATGCTCGGTTGATTATGGTGTAAACAAGCATGTCTCTGATCAATGTGTATTATCGATAATATGTTTATTGATTAAATGATAAATGTTTATAGGAGATGGAACAAAAGTTTTGAGATGTTGATATATGTGTTGAGAATTTGGTTAGAATCTTTTCGATTTTCTAATTGATTGAACTATCTGTCTTGACAAATCTATTATTCTCACTGGTCTTGTAATAATCACACGGACCCGAGAAATTCTTGGATCATGGATGTAATGCATGAATGCATCAAGTAATCTAGATTGGAATAGTAAAACGAAAGAAGCACAACTTTTATTCCCACAGATAGTCTTAACTAGGTTACATAAATTATTGCATGAGCAGCAGCTGCATGCAATATTATTGAAACCCAAATCACAACATAAGGAAAACTTAAGAAAATGCCACTTTCGCAGGGAACGCGATTGCATTTAGCGTATGCAATAAGCCTTTTAAACCTATAGGTGACCCAGATAGGACGAGTGAAGTCTCGTGAGGGTTTCCAGCGACACTACCCACAAACATCAAATTAACTGAACAGGATGATCATCCTGGAAGTTTTTCAACAATGAAGGCAGGGGTATTGGTGGGTCTTGCACTTTCGGCAGCGAGGGCATCATCGAAGTCGGTTCCAGATTTTGGCTCTGCAAGGTTTCCCAATTGCACGTGGACGAACTGGTATACGCCGTCGACGTACGGTGCCGGTTTTTGCAAAACCACAGGTTTGAAGAGTGTACATGACCACAGGTTTTTATTTGCCTGTTTCTCGTCAGCGTCGGCTACAATCCACGTACTGTCTTGGCCTGCCGTTCTCAAGTATTTGTCATTGTACGTGCTTTTTATATGCACCAGACTGGGTTGGTTTACGTCCTTCTCCACTTTGAACCTTGCGTATTTGCTGTGACTTTCCTCTCCGGAGGCTTCGAGCCTATTTGGCAGCTCTGCGGTGGATTGGTCTTTGAAGACCACGTATTTCTGGTTCCTGACCGATTTAAGAGCAAAAAACTTTGGTAAGTCTGCCATTTCTGATGATCTCTCTATCTCTCTCTCGTTGCTTATTGCTTTTCCTAGCTACAATCTGCTGTGCTATTTATAATCACGCAAACCCAAACCATGCATGCAGCTTTCACTTATTTTTCTTGCTGTACTGGCCCGCCATAACAGAGAAAATTAAATCCACAAAAATCGTGCTGTTAAACGTACAATTAACTTAATACACCATACTACCAAACAATTTATTGAATTACTAATTTACTCTAATATAAAATGACAAAAAAGATATATAGAATTGTGAAACAAAAGTAATTTTAATAAGTACACCCTACTCAATATAGTCAACCCTAATCAAATTAGAATTTTAGAGTTTGATTCCAAACAGATTTGAGACAAAAACTCGGTTGTAATTTTTTTTTCCTCTCACTTCCATAATTCCTGACATCAATGAAGAAGAAGCTTGGAGAGGGGAAAAGATTGAAGCTGCCGAACAGAATCCCTTGCCAAAAAGCCATGGTTATTCATTAAACAGCTTGAAAGCAACTTAAATATTATTTCATTTTGATCAGCAAAGCTGCCCAAGCTTTTATGAACCTTCTGCACCATCAGATCAGTTCTCCCCGAGTTTTGTTCGTCTGCCTGTTAATAAGATATTTACATGCATACTTCACCTTATACATATCTAATTCACTGGCATGTGACTGTTTATATTTCCCATTACATTTGCAGCACACAGAAGAACCCTCAAGACAGATCATCATCTTTAGACCTTCTGGTTAGTACTCATGAATTTGGTTCAATGAGTGGGTGAATCCCTGACGGTTTAGATTTGATGAAGGGAAAAGGAGTTGACAGGAACATATTTGATGAAGACGACCAATTCATGTAAAATACGGTGTACTTAGTATTATGGTGTATTAGGGGTATTTTTGGTAGTTAAGTAGGGTGTACTTAGTTAATTTTACATTTTGATTTAAATATTAGGGTGTACTTATATCATAGAGTGTACTCAATTAATTTTAGGATTCGTTTAACAACACCCCACCAAAAAAAAACAAAAAAGCGAAAGCATGCTTCACATCTTCAAATAAAACAAAGATAAGCTTAGTATTTTCTTCTTTGTTGTAATGTGAACTTGATTATGTAATTTCTACTACTTGTACATGGGCCATAGCCATTAATTCATATATTTCAATTTCTTGTGTGAAGATTTTAAATTCATTTCAACATAATATCAATAAGATTAAGTTCGATTTCCTTGAGCATCATCACTGATCTGATTTTCAGATAAGTCTTTGAATTACCGAATGTGATGGATTTTCAGATAAGTCTTTGAATTACCGAATAAAGCTTGAAAGATAGCTTCATCCACATCTTGAAAGAATAAAGCTTGAAAGATAGCCTCATCCACAGCTTGAAAGAATATAGTTCGATTTCCTGGAGCATCATCACTGATCTGCTGTAGTGCATGATGAGATTCTTTCAAAAATAGCTTCATCCACAGCTTGAAAGGGAAGCCTTCTTGTCCTTCTTCCGAGTCTCCTTCAGCTCAATGAGTTGTTGTCGAGCGATGAGGTGTTGTATTAATAATTGACACAAATTAATATGCTAATCATGCAATTATAAATATGCTATTAAAGTGATTGTACCGACTAAGTTTTATATTTTATATTATTATATTATATAGTTATATAATTTATACAAATCTTAAACCACACTACTTATTTATTTAGCTAACTTCCAATACATATATAAACCTTCTTATATTGTCTTATAAGTATATATTATATATATATTCATTATCTTGAATTAGTACTTTTTTTCTTCAACAAAGTAGTTATATATCGGTTTTTTTCTTCCATAATGGGGCGGATCGGGGAACCCATTCCCCAACGAAGGTGGGGATGGGGAATCCCCGATATGAATATGGCGGGTATGAAGGCGGGGATGGGAGAAAAATGCTTAACGGAGATGGAGATGGGAATGTCATACCCACCCCTGATTCGTTCCATTGCCATCCCTAACCACAAAACAATCACGGTTACATTTTAAAATTTTCCTTCTTGTCCTTCTTCCGAGTCTCCTTCAGCTCAGTGAGTTGTTATTGAGTGATGAGGCGTTGTATTAATAATTGACACAAATTAATGTGCTAATCATCCAATTATAAATACTCACAAGTGTATGAATCTATTGCGGTATAGATTTGTAAGTATGTGGTCGATCCCAAGAAAAACTGTGGCGTACACAAAGTTCTATTTTGAACACGTAAAGAACACTTATTTAACACAACACAAAAGTAAGATTTAAATTGGAAACTATGAATGAGTAAAGAAAAGTAAAAAAAATGAAACATAACAAGAAACCCAAAATAAACACAATCATGAATGTCTATCACCCTTTTATCACCACCATATCACTACGGTATCACATGTTTATCACCTAATGGACAGTGGATCGTTTTGAAGCAGATTGAGAATTCCCTTGTTTTCAGCTTCGACCTCTGTTCAGTTTTTTACCTATAACTTTCCAACATTTATTCAAATTTATGTTCTTTATATGGTTGGATTCAGCACAGAAAAATGAAGAACCCAGTGTACAAATGTTAAAAATGGATACAAAAATGAACAGAATTTAGTGGAAACAAACACACAATGTTTCAAACAACTAACACCACTACTACAAAAATGGAAAAAGAGGACCACAAATAGGGATGGCAATTTTCCCCACGGGTAAGGGTCTTCGTGGGGATTCGACCCTAATGGGTCGGATATGAAGGAAAAAAAACGGGTATGGGTACGGGGAATTTTTTGGGTATGGTGTTCGGGGAGGGGCGGGGATGATATTTTAATCCCCAACCCGAACCCTCCCCGTTTAGAATATATATATATATATATATATGGTATATATAAATATGCTATTAAAGTGATTGTACCGACTAAGTTTTATATTTTATATTATTATATTACACAGTTATATAATTTATACAAATCTTAAACCACACTACTTATTTATTTAGTTAACTTCCAATACATATATAAACCTTCTTATATTGTCTTATAAGTATATATTATATATATATATATATTCATTATCTTGAATTAGTACTTTTTTTTTTCAACAAAGTAGTTATATATTGGTTTTTTTCTTCCGTAATGGGGCGGATCGGGGAATCCATTCCCCAACGAAGGTGGGGATGGGGAATCCCCGATATGAATATGGCGGGTATGGCGGGGATGGGGGAAAAATGCTTAACGGAGATGGGGATGGGAATGTCATACCCACCCCTGATTCGTTCCATTGCCATCCCTAACCACAAAACAATGACGGTTACATTTTAAAATTTTCTCATATCGGGTAATTTGTAATATCAACTTTTCAGATATTTTGGGAAAGTTTGTTAGCATCTTTTTAACTAAAAGATTTTTATATTTTGGGAAAGTTTGTTAGCATCTTTTTAACTAAAGGATTTACTTTTTGAAGAAAAAAATATCAACTTTTCATATATTTTGGGAAAGTTTGTTAGCATCTTTTTAACTAAAAGATTTACTTTTTGAAGAAAAAATATCAACTTTTCAGAAATTTTGGGAAAGTTTGTTAGCATCCTTTTAACTAAAAGATTTACTTTTTGAAGAAAAAAAAAGGACAAATTAAATTGCAAGTGCATGTCAATGGATCCAACCAAATGAAAAAAAGGGTCTTGATTTGCAGACCGGTGGTCTCAAGTTTGAACCTCGGTGGCACCTTATTAGAGTGTGAGGAACCCCTCCCCTTATAGTTTTAGACTATCACTTGTATTTAAAAAAATATTGCATGCGCATAATAAGACCCAAAAATATTGGTGCCAATCCCAGCCAGGAACCTCACCTCCATAGGGCAGGCATAGCCACTGAGAAGAATTAGCGCAAGGCCATCTCAGGCATAACTCCAGATGGTCGTGCCTTTGTCTTATAATTAGCGCAAGGCCATCTCAGGGCCTTTTTTTTTCTTTTTCTTTTTTGCTTTTTTCATACCGTTTCTCTTCATTACGTATATGGCCATGCACATGGTACTTTTCATAATGTTTCAATTTTCTTTTTTACTAATGAAATATTTCTTCGAGTTCTTTAAATTTTTTTCAACGTTCTTTATTTAATTTAGTGTTAAAATTTAATATATGCAAACACAGTCTCATCACAATGAACATACATACAATCACGGATACAAAAGAATAAAACTTCATAAAATAAAATAAAAAGAGTAACATGTTTTCATTTGGTGTTTACGTACCAAATGAACATATTTACATAGAGTTTCTAAAGAAAGGAATACTCAATATTTGTTGCCATAAAATTTTAAAATCTATCGCTATAAAAAAAATTATTAAAAATTCAGATATATTCATTTTAATATAACACAATGATGTAAATATTTTTCTTTTCCTCCAGCTTAAAAAAAAATTTAAAAAAAATTGGTCAATTAAATAGCAAGATAACTTACCAAAACACAAGGGAAAGTAATAAGCGTCTAAGGAAAAAATGTACATAAAAATTTAAAGAAATCCACACATGCACAAGTAGAAACAGGAGGAAGATAACTCCAAAAACCTAACCATTCACAAAGAAAAAATTCATAGGTCAGAGTAGACACATGGCAGCTGAGAAATTCGCAGAAAAGGACGAAAAGATGGTTAGGACCAAGCTGGAAACAATGAGCTGGAAATCCTAATTCAAAAAAGGTTGACTAGTCATACGAAGGAAAGATGACTAGTCATAATCTTCATAAATTTAGTGAATGCAATGTAGTGCAATGCAGAGTTTACCTTTGTCAAAACACATTGTTGTCCATCAAAATACAGTTAGATAAGAACACTTAGAGAAGTAATTCTTAATCTAAACTTAGAACTTGGGAAATTACAATGGTTGTCCTATTACAAAATTTTCAAGAGAAGCCAAAAGAAAATAACAAAATGCATACACTTACAAAAGGGTACTTCAATTTTCAGTTCATCAAATTGATTTTGAATTGGTGAAGGGTAAAAATGTTCATAATGAATTGGTGAAGGGAAGAAATGTTCATAATTTCCCGCACTTCTGCAAATAGACTTAAATTATTACTTTAGCTTGAGGCGTAATAATCTGAATATCAGATTATGAATATTATCTGAGTGCCCGTTTGACATTGATTATTTGGGCTAAAAAGTGATTCTTATAAAGTTTTTGAAGTTCACCTTGTTTGGTAAAAGGTGAGATAATCACTTTTGGGATAAAATAGCTGTCCGCGACCGTGATTTTAGAAAGCAGGTTAAGGCTGATTTTATTTCAGCTTTTGCGGAAAGCTAAACAAGGAACCGGGCTGTTTAATGAATTTTAATGAATTGCCTATAATATCCTTGTTAACTTTTCTATTTTACATCATTTGTCCCTCATCTTCTTCCACTCGAGAACGTTCCAACTATCCCTCATCTTCTTCCCACATAGACAATCTCATTCTTCTCACAATGTTTCAAAGGTGAAAACCTCTCAAACCTCCAGGTAACTCTCTCTATCTGCCACGAAGTTAGAGCACAAGGTTGAGAGTGGATTATTTTTGGATGTTGTAGTCGGCGATGGTGCGGCCATCCTGGAGCTGCTTGCGAGCAAAGGTAGACCTCTATTGGTTTGGCAGAATACTCTCCTTGTATTGGATCTTGACTTTGACATTGTTGACTATGTGGGAGCTTTTCAGGGTGTTGATTGTTAAGATCATGGTGGATCTGTGGGAGGGTGGGCTGGCAGGAAGAGGGGTGCAGAGAGGGCGAGTTAATTTTGTTTTAATTTTGGCAAAAAAAGAAAAGAAAAAGAAGTGCGACTATTTTTTTTAAAATATATATATAATACCAAACACTTGAATAAAAAATTTATTTCAACATCATGTCCTTTTTAGTCATTTCTACAGCTCACAATTGTTTTACACAAATATTTACCAAACACTTTTAAATTGATTTTTGTATCAAAATCACTTTCAATATAAAGTTAACCAAACGCCAAACAACTTTCATTCACAGCTGATTTCTCTTATAGCAAATCCAAAGTAATTATTTTCACAACACAGCAATCTCAAACTGGCCCTGAATCCCGAATCCCAGTTGTCCATGACCTCAAGGAGATCAAGGAGGAACTTCCACATTTGACATTTGTGCAAGGAATGAATGGTATACGAGATCGGCCACATAAAGCCTTTTTATGTCATCAACTATCTGTCATGCTTCATTCTTCTTTTACTTTTTTTGGGCTTCGTCACTTTCATGACAGTTTTTCATTTCGATTTCTGGCTCCCATGTAAAATCCTCAAGTCTTAGATAAGAAATATGTAAAATTGTGAAAGACAGAAAACACATATTTGGATAATTATATATGGCTTTGAAATCAACATGTTAGATAAGTTTATGTATTGGCTACTTTAGTGATAACTTCATGTATTTGGCTTGTCCCCTTCAAAAATAACTTTTTCTTACCTGCAGTTCATCACCCTATTTTTCTATAAATAAAACTTAATTTTAGGTTTAGGTGCTACAGTGCCCCTGAAACATTGGTCAATTCCCACTAAATCCCCTTAAAGTTAAAGTGACTCACTTTGCCCTCTTAACCAATGTTTTGTGTCTCACTTTGTCCCTCACTGTCAAGTCTGTTAAAAATTCGGTTAAAATGCTAACGTGGCACCAATGAGACCCACTATTTTGCAAAACTGAATGCCATGTGTGAAGAAAAAAAAATAAAAAAAAAGATTGTTGAGAGGATCCAAATTCAAATTTGGGCTTAGCATTTAGCAATAGCTGCTTGTGGCTGAGAGAGAGAGAGAGAGAGAGAGAGAGAGAGAGAGAGAGAGAGAGAGTTTCTTTGTTGTTTTTTGGGTAAAAGCTAAAATGCACGGTTCAAGCTCTCAATTAGTCTGCATAAAGTAATCAAATTGGAGAAAGATATTGATGGGGTATAGATTTGTAAGTACGGGGTTGATCCCACGATGAATTGCCAGCTTACACAAAGTTATAATTTGAGCACATAAAGAACACTTATTTAACACAACACAAAAGTAAG